TACTACTACTACTACTACTACTACTACAACAACTACTACTGCTGCTGCCACTGCTGCTACTGCTACTGCTTCTACTACTACTGCTACTACTACTACTACTACTGCTACCACTACTACTACTGCTACTGCTACTGCTACTGCTACTGCTACTACTACTACTACTACTACTACTACTACTAGTACTACTACTACAACTAGTACCACTACTACTCCTACCCCCGGCTGCGGCTGCGACTACTGCTGCGACAACACTAGTGATCAGCTATTGGCCAATGCTCTTACTATTACTCGTACTCTTCCTCTTGCTGGTTCTATTACTACTACTATTGCTCCTTGTGTTCTTCCCCTACTATCATCTCTTGATACTACGAACACTACGATGACACGTCTCTTGTCATGACCCAATACAACAGCTCCTGCTGTTACCTGCTTTTATTATTGTTAACCAGGGCCCGAAAAATCATTGTCGAGGCTGCACGGTTCCAGACCTGCAGCCGCAACGCTAAATGCTAAGCGGACTTCCAGGGTCTCTCACAACCTTCAGAGGGCCTGTGGGCAGTCCTCGCACCAACTGCAGGCAAGTTTGCGGAAAAATCATCAGGCCATCAATCACAATTTCTTCGAAATCCATGGGAATCCTTTTCACTGCCAATGTGTAGCAGATGGTGAAATTCGCTTTGCTGCACCCCACAGGCGCGTCAAAGCCGGGCAAGCCTGCTTTGAAGCACAAACCATGTGAATCTGTTCCGGACCGATCGTACGAGCATTATGTTGCCACGAGCAACCCGCCCGCTTTACCGAGCTGGGCAGTCTTGAATTGAATCACAGCCCATGTGAATGCTTTCAGAGCCTACTGCACGAACTCCGGGCTGTGCAGCATAAACAACGGAAAAATACGTATACAACGATTCGTAGAGAGATGGAATTTTCAAAAAATAAGGGCAGGGACGTCCTTGCAGGTCGAGGAAACAGAGGTGTTGTGGAACACCCCAGACAACATGCGTCTGCCCCCGCTTGGCTGTCAGGGGCTCCTCGACAGGGCAAGCTTGGCTTTTATGCGAACCTATGTGAATCCCTTCAAGACACGTCGTACGAGTGTCGTGCTGCAAAGCGACATAAAAGAGCGAGTCAGAAGCAAAGGCTTTCGTGGTGAAACGTAGGGAACTTGAGTTTCCAAAATAAAAAAGTGCGGGGCCGGGAACAGAGGTTTCGTTTTGCTTCGCAGTGAATTTGCTGGCAAAACCCGAAGAAAACCCACCACCAAGAACATAAGACTACGAAGATTCTCAAGGGTGACTCCATCTAAAGGCTACCCTATTTGGGCTGCCCGTAAAGGAAAGCCTCGTCGTAAGTAGGGGCTCCCTGTAAGATGTGATTGTACGCCAAGTGTCATTCCACCAGACGTAAGCTTGTTTCACCGGCCAACCTATGCCCGTTGAAGCTCCCGAACTGCTCTGTATTGCCACATGTCCGACAAGACGGGCAGAAGGCTATGTCGTGCTGGACCCCATGTGCTGGTGGTTGGTTCATGTTGGTTCAACGACTGCTGTCGTGTTAGATACGATCGCCAGTATCATGAGAATCTTGGCAAGTCAGGTTGGTCACCAACACGAAGCGTATTTCAAAGGCGCTGGATGTCGGAGCGAACGCCTTAGCATTGGATGGCTTACGCAGAGATCAGAGAAGCAAGACCGACAATTTGAACCTCTCAACATGTCAGGCATGCAACGCGCTGCTATTGAAGGCACGAAGCTAACAATCCTTAGAGAGCTGCACCAGGATAAGCCAAAAGCACTAGTCTACAAGCTGTCCTATCTTATCCTATCTTCATGCTGCCAGGTCAACCAGATCGGATCCATTTCGGAGGCGATCGATGCTGCCAACATGAAGACTGCTTAGATTCCCCTGGACGACTCAACATCGCATGTGTGCAGATTATCGATCTCGACAAATCCACCAAGGTCCATGTACAATGGCTGGGGTGTCATGGTGTCCCATCGGTCTGGAGAGACAGAGGCGAAGCCTTCACACTGGGAGTATTGTCTCTATCACGAATTGTGGTAGATATTCTTGATGAGCATGGATGTGTTTGATCAGGACTCCTTCATCGCCGACTTGGTGGTCGGACTGCGCACAGGCCGGACTTCTCAGTGTAGACCCCAAACAGTACAAGAGCACCGAGCAGTCTAAGCCCAGAATGCCTGAGAACCGTTGCCAAAACACCCCTCCACCTCCAAACACTTGTCCATGAGTCCACAACGCCGACCACACTATGGTGCGGGCGCCGTGGCATTCTTTCCAGGACACGCGCTGCACTCTGGCAGGATTTCCAATCAACAGAGCGGCCCTTCGACTTCGAGCGGTTTCGGCTACACCAAAAACGCGCGGCAGTGGCGGCAGAGAGATTCAGCGGCGCCAACGTATTGGATTTTCACACAGCCAGCGACGAACTTGAGAAAGAATGCGATTCTACCGGAACTGTCTACCGTTTGATCCACGAGAGCTGCGGATCCGGGCGCGCCTGCTGCTCCGTGCGGTGCCACATCCATGTCCTCCCCGTAACAACTCCATTGCTGATACCTTTTCTGGGGAAATGGTGAGCTACGAGCCGCATCGCTTCAGGTCAGATTAAAACTGGCGCGCCTTGCCGCAGCGAGCGCTTGGCGAAGTACAACCAGTCTCTTGCATTCACTGGCCAGCTTTCGTTTTTCGGGTTTAGAATGCATGCCCGCTTGTTGAGGCTGCTGCGCATTGAAGAAGAACTTGGGTCCAAGGCAACGGGCACATCATTAGTAATTGACATGGAGCTTTTGTAAGCAGTCGTCATTTGCGAGGCCGTGTACGCTGGGGAGAAGTTTCGCAACCCTTCCGCCTAGACTCTGAGCACAACATGCTTTTCCGTCCTTGAAGCCTTGAGCAGCGCCTGCAAATACTTCCAATGAGTGCGCGTGCTGTTCGTTCTCGATGCACATATGCTTTCTGTTTGACGACTCTGGTCCAGGAGGTTCTTGTTTGTCTATCCCTCCACAGCTTGAGAGACATAGATTTGGCCAAGTTGAATCACCGGTAAGGTTGTTGTGCTGGACCCGTGACTTCGTTTAAAAAGATCGGCCAGCCAAGCAATGTACCTACATCTTCGTTTGTCCGAAGCCACACTTTATCACACTCGCCCGCGGGCGGGCGTGTAGCTCCTTGCCCTGCACGTTTGTGAACAACAAGTGCTGGCCTGTGATTTTCACTCACTGTACTCTGCATGCTCGAACTTGAGCGAACTTGTTCATGGAGAACTCCCTGCCTTGTGATGATCTAGACCTAGCTCCCTTTCATTCAGACACGTATCACATGAATGTATATGGCTTCGTGTGCTCCTGCCGAATTGCGATGCCACTTTCTGGTAGGGAAAAAGCTGCGCCCACACGGCCTTTCCAGGTTTCTGCATCGAGAAACAAATCTTCAGATTCGTCAGGACGTACAGTGGCCCGCAGCAACGATGACTGTCCGCTTCAGGTCTCGAGATGGTGAGTCCAACCGCAGGGGAGCAAAGATGCCACGTTAGTGCGTCAGCCTAGAAGGTTAGCTACCAAGTGCAAGCTAGAATCGAGCTTATCAGAGGACAGTTTTGTAGCACGAAGTTGACTTTCCGATACCCTGCTGTTCCCGATGGCGTAACTGTTCGAAGTGGGTAGTTTGTTGAAGCCATGCCTCGCCGGAATCCCAGAGTAGTCAAACTGCACGCCGTCTGGAGGCGACTTGCCCAGCACATCCCATTTCCCGTTCGCTCGTTGGCATCAGAGGTGTGGTGCCACACCTTGGCAAAGACGTGAACTTCGAGGCGGGCGAGATGAAAGCAGCCCAGCTCTCGACTTGGGTGTTGCCTCAGGCCTTCTCTTCGGCCTTTGCGGAGCGTCAGGTTGTGTTTGTGCCCTTGCCTGAGCACTGATCCGGTTGATGCAGCTCTCGGTAGTACTTCCCATGACAGCCACAGGCGTTCTGCAGAGCGGCAGGCAAGGAAGCCCGGGACAAGGCGAGTGCAAACCTTGGTGGCCCTTCGGCGCCCAACAGCAGCCTGTGACACGTGGAGGGAGCCAATGTGCTGCAGGCGACGGCGCATCGGACTATCTCTGCTGCGGCAACTGTACTCGGCCCGGCGCCCAGCAGCTCTGCACTGCAGTTGCACGACAAATTTGCGAGTTGCAAGTTGCATGACATGCTACTAATGCTACAGTATGGCAGATGTGTGCAGCAATAGCGCTTCGATTATATACATGTGCCGGTAGGGCTGTCAACAGCGACTTTCTATCGGGAAAACCATGTTGCTGTCCAGAATCACGGTCAGATGCCTCTTAGTTTTCCACCCACACACATGTGCTACTGTACGATCCATATTGCACCGTAGACGTGGACGACTATTCACACCAGAGGGTGGCATGCCCACCTCGCGACCGAGTTATGTCAGAGTCATGTGGCACGCCGCTGCGTATTGAAGCTGCTCGAACCCCCACGAAGCAGCCGGTGACAATCCGTAGTCCTGACACAAGACGGTTGTCGTGTCAGGACATGGCAAGTGTGCGAAGCACACGAAGCATTCTGCCAGCTAGTCTTGTTTTCTTCTGCTTCCATGTCTGTGCAGGCAGGACGCTTGCTGAGAGTGCGAGTCACCAGTGCTTTTTGCAGTTGTCTGTCTGTGTGCGAGAGAGTGGTTTCATGGCAGCTGGAAGGAGAACTGACCTGCGATGTGCGGACGCAATCAGAAATCGAGAAGATAGAGCTGCGCGAGCTCGAAGAGACATGCCGCATTCACTTTCCTTTGCCCATCAACTTGACAGCAGCATTCCCAAGGACACCAACGTGGAGCTACTCCAAACTGCACTCGCGGTGGCTCCTTCGCAACTAGTGACCTGCTTGACCGAGCAGGCCTCATGATGCTTTGCCGGACTGTTCTGCCGGTAAGTCCCGACACAGCTTGGACACACACTCATTGTACTGTAATGTATTCTGTAGTGATTTGCACGTGGTATCACACTTGGTGATTGATGCAATTGTTGTAACAAGGGACCCGCCCAACTCAGTTAAAGGCAGCCAGTTACTCACAGGGATGCCCTTACTACACAGCGACTGGCATAGAGACTCAGGTCACCAGGCTTGAGCACAAGTCGCAAGAGGTGTATGCACCACACTGGTGCTACACAATCAGCGCGGCGAGCTCACTTGATCCCTGCTGCAGAGCATGTAGCGTTTCTCGAAGAGTTTTCCTTCGCGCGAAAGCCCAAGGACTATGTCCGCAGCAGCATCGCCGCCTGCAATGGCGGAGTTGGAAGCTGCATTTGTATGGGACCCGAAGTCTGCGGAAGCTGGGGACCATTCCCTCCCGGATCCTGGCAGGCGTATTCCTATTCCTGTTGCGCCTGTCATCCTGGCGTTCAGCAGCCAGCCGCACCCACGGCACCTGTGCCCGCTTCGACTCCTGCCCAGGCTATGCGGGACAACCGGATGAATGTAGATAGATTCGCAATCCTCATGGGAATCGCTTGATGGTAAGCACATGTGGGGAAAGAGCAGGCTTTCACGTAGTAAAGCGATGTGACAAATCGCCCCCTGAGATGTTTGTTTTTTTGTGTGAGCATTGGGACCAGGCGGTGCCACCAGCTTCAGGGCCTCCACAGGCTCCTGGCGCCAACTCGACAGGCAACGCCAGTGCTTGCGCAGCGCACAGGGCCTGTGCTGATCTCCGCCTTGATGGCTCCTGCTGTCCGTCGGCTGATGGAACATACCTTGGCTGCTGTGACTCTGCCTCCATGGTGCAGCTGGATGCTGCCGCACTGGACAAACCTTCCATGCCCATCCCGGCATGGTGTGCCGAGATGTCAAGGCAAACCAGAGAAAATAGTGCTCCTTGGGCCTCAGATCTACAACAGTTTTTGTCGGATTCTTAGAAGGCGTTTCGTATCTGGTTCGTACTTGTTGACTTGTTGCAGCCAAGCCACCGTGCACCTCCTCATCCGGGCCCAGCAGCTGCGCCTGCATCAGCAAGACTGCTTGTGGTGACGGTCCTCCACTGGCTGGAAGCAGCTCGTTTTGACATGCAGCTGCCCGCGAAGCATCGACAGGGATTGGAACCTAAGTTTCGGTTGGAGTTTCCAGTTCCCGATGAAAGGTTCGGACTGTCACGAACTCGGTAATCATAAAGGATTCCAGGAATCTAGGCTTTCAAGCCCACAGCTTCATACTGTAGCGAGCGACAGTTTGCGCAATGCCCAGGCTGGCAGCACTACTCGACCGCGTGTTGCGGTTGCACGTAATTCACCGATTGTCGGACTCCAGCAATCGGTGGGAAAAGGGTGCTTGAGCAACAACACCGCTGTGCTTGGAAGATGGATGTTACTAGTAGAGCTTGCACAATTCCACGAGGCCTATCCTGCCGTGCTGCGCAGGGCGCCCAGGCGGCACATCCAGATTGACAAGTTCTGATCCGCTATCTTGCATGGGGTTCGTGCTGGACGACATGTCAATGATCTGACGACGGTCACTGGGTGATTGTTGGCGTGACGTCGACATGTTTTCATCCAGCTTGTCCTGCGAACGGAAAGTTTTCGAATCGACGCAGTCAACATCACTTGAGGAAGAAACTACCGCAGGGCAGGAAAGGGAAATCGCAACGGCTGCGTGTAAGCTCATGACAGACCAACTCCCTCGGGCGTCGAAATATCAGGCAAACAGTGAGGCCAATTCCGAATTTTTTTGGACATGGGCATCCGCAGCAAAGACGATGAATAGTCAGGGCAGTGTCGAGAACGTATCGGATGGAGCATTAGGACGGGTTAGTCTGCCATGCTGCGGGCTTTGCGTTGTGCCGATGCTGCCGACAATGGGACGGACTGGTTTTTCAAGCCTGGGACGTGCTATTCTGGGAGACGGGTCAGCATCATGAGCATCATTTTGGGGGCGGTTTTCGGAAATTTTGTGGTTGAGAATCTGGGGCTGGAGCGGGATCTTTACGTTACTGCGGTCACGGGGGGCACAAGGGCAAAGTGGAGACACGATGATGCTCATGATGCTCTCCTTCTGCGGGGCAGACAAGGCTCCAGCCCCCCCTCCATTGCCCACACCAAAGCACCCCCGATGATAGGCATGATGGCCGGCTCAGGCGCTTTAAAAAGACCAAACAGATGGACTCGACACAGGCGATTCATGGAGTACACAGTACATGCTGCACGAGACCGGGATTAGGTCAACGTAAATAAGAAGATTGCTGGATAGAATTCTTGTAAAATCTTGTAAGCATTTTGTAGCGCATGTGACTTGAGATCGAAGTTTGGCTGAGGCAGAGCATTCAGTCGATCGGCTCAGATGGCGCTGGGTTTCTTTGTCTGCGCAATGAGGGATGCCTTTCCTGTGCTGTCAGACCTGGAGAGCAGCGTTTCTCTACCCGCTTCTGCTCCAAAGGCTGCAGCCTGGGAGTTCTTGAGGGGGTCTCCGTAGAGCGCGTGTGAGCACCCGCTGCAGGCGTTGGACCGGCTTCTGGGTTCCAGGAGAACGCCGCCAGGCACGCTGAGAGTTCGCGGCAAGGGCGTCGGAGGGGCCTCGGCAGCTTTAGGGCCTCGGCAGGCTCCTGGTATGCATCATTCGTCTTGCAGCGTGCCGGAGCCAAGCTGGAAGACGAGTGCTTCCTGTAGCCTCCGTCGGCCTCCGTCTCCCTTTGACTCGAGGCAGCCGAAAGGCGCTCTCCGAGTTCCTCGTGCAGACCATCCCTGCGGGAGCCAGGAGCTGTCTGGGAACATAAAGTCAGATGAAGTGCCGTTGACGCCGTATCGGCGATCCGAGGCCCCAAAATTCCTGGTGGAGAGGTAAGCCGCCTCGTTGGGCATTTCTTTTCTCAGCTTTGGATTTACTCTCCATGCTCGCACAGGTCCCCGAGAAATGGCAGTGCTGCAGGAACCTTACGAAATGCGAACTAATTAAAGCGATAACACGAGCATTGTAAAGCAGCATGTTTGTTTTTGCTGGGCAAGGCCATCAAATTGCCGAAGCACTCCAATGCAGCGTGGGTGTTCTTCGGCAGGCGAAACAGGGTGTTGTGCGAGTGTCGGCTGCAGCAATGCCGCATCTGGAAAGGCCAGCAGAATGTAGCCTCTCCTGATCCCGCCGTTCACGACAGGAACCCCGGCAGTCGAATACTGCGTGGCCGTCCCGAGCATACGGTCACGTTCCCACGCAACAAGCTTCTATTTGATCTGCACACCGCGAGACTCGCAAATCAAGGATGCCATCCAGCACAGCGGAACCTGGCATGTGCAGCTGAAGGGCGAGAAGGCACCTTGTCACTTGACACTCCTTCCCAAGCCGAGCCGCTACGACCAGAGGATACCAGAGGGACATGTATTTTGATATATTTGTGCATATTTAAGTTCACCGCAGTTCCGCGACCACCCTTGCTGACACCTACATCGGCTGAATAGTGGCCATACCCGGAGCGATTCCATGCAGTGTGTGAGTCAGACTCGCGGAGCGTTACCCGGACGCCACTTTCATGGATGGTCATCGTCACACGGTTAGGGCGACCTGCACCTTCTCTCGTGAGCTTGCGCATGCGTGAGAGACAGTTGCGAGACTGAACCTCTGACATTCGGCCTAGTGTGCTGGGCTCTCTTGCGTTTCCGTGTTTGGGACCTTGAAGGCCTGTCCTGCACCAAGGGTATAACGGGCCAGCGCTTGCGTCTAGACAGCCGACAAGCACCGAAGTCAGAGGATGCCCATCAGATCCATGTGGCATTTCGTGACTCCGAACCTTTCAAGCAACGCAACGTATGAGGTAGCAAAACCGCCTATCCGCGGGCAAATTCGAGCAGTGCAATTTCGGTTCACGGATCACTGTCTTCGCTGGCGCACGACGTCACAAGTTCTAGTAACCCCCACTTGTAACTGCACTGCAGGCACCGCGGGATGGGCTTGCTACGTCAGGAGGGCCTGCGCAGGTCCTGTGCAAAGTAAGAAGGGCGTTCGTCATGTGCCGACCAGGTTGAGCCAAACCCATCCCCAGAACGAGAAGTCAACGGTCACGAACCCTTTCTAACTAATTGAACTGCAAAACTTCACACACTGGAATTGAATTAGGGGTGGTAGCATCCGCCATGTACAAAACTCGGCACACACGTGTGGTTGCTTTCAGTCCTCACAAACTTCGGAGCGTGAATCACTCCTATACGGCCTGTTGTGACACTCTCCCTCTGATGGCAGTGACCAAACTGGCATGGGCAGGCGGTTACTCGACTCACATCATTTTGGGCTCAACAATTGAGAGAGAGTGTGTGTGTGTGTGTGTGAGCGTGCATGCATGGCAAAAGCACTCAGAGTGTGGCTTTCTCCCTGGGAAAGTTTTCTGACAGTACGATCCCGCATCTGGTCGGCAGTCGGCTTCGGTCACGCTCCCGCATATTCGTCTCCTGAAATCGGATGAGTCGCGCAGTACGGGACTCTATGTGATGTGCTGCATTTGTTCGCTGCTCTCTTTCGCCGCGAGCCTTGTTGGCGCCTCAGAAGTTGACATTCGAGGTTGGGAGCCTGCTCCTTCCAAGTACTGGTTGGAAGATGCACGCTCCTTCCAAGAATTCGACAGAGGCAGCCAGTTTCCCATCTTGAACTTCACCAGAGCCCTCGCACCGGAAATGTTCGACCGCTTGATTCAGGATGGGCGGCCCTTTGTAGTCCGAGGCCTCGGAAAGGCTCACCCGATGCAGGACTGGGGCTGCGAATTTTTCCGCCAGAATCCTGACTTTCGGGATGTACATGGTCGCCGCGAGTATGCTGACTCTGGCAGCCAGCAGCCGCAATGGATGTCCCTTGAAAACGTAATGTCCACCGTCGCAAATCAAGGGAGCAAGGGAAAAGCGAAGGCATCATCTCCGTACTACATCGGTATCAAGGATGTGCAGTATCGTAGTACAGAGGAATTACGCAGGGATTCCCACTACAGTCCGACTTGGACCAGGGAACTGCTGGACTTTGTTCAGAACCATACCATCGTCCCTGGCTTCATGCGAGAGAGCAACCTGCGAAGACTTCACGACACTCCGGAGTTTTGGTTCGTTCAGGCTGGTGGAAGCACAGGGGCCAAAGCCCATGTCGACGTTCATCCTGAGTCAACTTGGAGCTTGCAGCTCTGTGGCAAGAAACGCTGGCGCATCTCCCCCATCGCGCCCCGAGCCACTCCCCATGTGATGAAACTCTACCAGGATGGACAAATTTACGGCAGACCCGAGCATCGATCATGGAATCTCTTCGAGGATACGGTGCTTCTTCCTGGAGATGCCCTATTTTTCGGGCCGGCATTTATTCATCAGACTCTATCCGAAGACGTTGGGCCGGCTGCATCAGTCACTTGGCAGTTCGATGATCCCATGCCTGTGAACTTCATGCGTGCCTTCATGCCGCGACTGCGCTTCACGGCAGACTCCCAGGCTTTGTGGCCCCGACTGCAGCATCTTGTGAAACAGGCCCAAAGGATGGAGTTGCGGAAGATTCCAAAGAAGTCTGATCTGCGAGCATTCCTTGACACAGATGGAGACGGTGCCGTCACCGAGGCAGAGCGGAGAAACGTGGTTTCTTTGTGGCAAGCACTAATCTCGGAGGTGAAAGCAAAGGTACCGGAAATCCTCCGTCAGAAATTGGACCTAGGTGTTGAGGCAGTCATCGAGGATCAGCATGAACTCTCGGATCTTCCGAAGAGGTTGCAGAAAGCTGTGCGACAGTGGGAGAAGCGGGCACTGGAGTTGGACACTTCCGTGGCTTCCGGCATCTCAGATGGGAGCGAGCTGTAAACAGTCTCCGCATCACAAACCGTGGAGTGGGATCAACACCCTGTCTTCGTCGGGGCCGTTTTTTGAACCTTTGCTGGGTGCAGATGTACCGCTACATGTGCAGCAAGCGTCAAGTCTCACTCAATGCGATGTGCAGGTATGGACACTCAAGCCAACTGACGAGCTGCGGCGGAAGGCATATCAGGGACGTGGTACGTGTTGGTTGTAGCCACTGATGCCGAGGTCCCCTCCCTAAAGAAGGCGGGACGTGTGCGAGTCCGCTGCATGGAAGGTGATGTCCTCTGCAACCGCCTCGGCTTGCCTGGATCCCGCCTGCGTTTGCGGCTTCTGGGGGGGGTCCCGAGGCATCAACACCAGGCTTTGGTGGCACAGCACGCACATCCCGGCACGCTGCAAGCTCTCCCTGAGTGCCACCTCGACTGCACTGGGATCCACTGGGGCTCGGATTCTGGTTCTCAGGCCTTGAGTTCCAAACACTGGTTCGGGAGATGTGCATTCGTCGACGGACACGGCTGTTCTGGTTTCGTGGGCTTCGCCAAGCTTTTCTGAATGCTGTCGTTGTCTTCGACTTGTCGTTGGCACGATGTTCGAGTCCCAGGTTGCTCGTGACATGTGCGGGCCCCAGGCTGCAGGAAATCGACTTTGAACACCACGTGCCGTCAAGGTACCTAGATGGCACCCGTCCCGGAGCCTGCGACATGACCAATGTGGATGGCGCGCACTCCTGTGCTCTTTGATTCGTCGGATTGATGCGCCAGAGCTATGCAGAGCCTTCGGCTAAAAAGGTCACTATGCCTTGAAGCCTATTCAGAAAGGTGCAGGGTGCTGAGTGTTCAGGGATCATTTCCATCTGCAGTCGGTGTGCGTGCGGTAATGTTAAAGCGCAACAGTTCGCAAGGCCGTCATCTTCACCGAGGACACCGCGCCACAGCTTGAGCTCCCAAGGCAAGGTGCAGCTTCGGAAACTTCCGTGGGATGGTAGCGTCGAGAAAGGAGCTCTGCTTCGAACTGCGAGCTGCGGGAGAGCGCATGCCTTGATCTTCGGTTCCGTCCTCGTACGTTCTGCACTTCACAGTGTCAGGTCAGCGAGGAAGTCTGGTGGTGGTGGCCCCCTGGCCAAGTCTCAGACCTGCATGACCCGCAGTGGAGCGAGAATCAGTGGAATGTCAGGCCAAGCGGGCCATCAAGAAAGGAGAGTGGTTTGCGCTCAGCGACAGCGATGTCGAGAGCGCTCAGGCAGAGGACCGACGGGCCGTGAACCCGCGCCTGCAGCCGCTTCATTTGCAGACAGTCTTTCGGAGGAGCCCAGAGGAACCAAGCGCAGGCGCTGAGAACAGGCGGACCGCTGCAAAGAACGGTTCACACATGCGCGGGAAATAGGCTCAGTTGGCATGGGAGATCGTGTAGCTGTAGCTGCCAGCCAACAGTTCCGCATCTCTGCAGCTGTGGCCACTGCACTTCAAAGATCGAGGTTGCGGCCTTCGGCATAGCCTCAGGGATCCTTAGGGCCCCAAGCGCCGTGTGAAGCTTGATGAATGGTTCGTGTTCGTCCATGTGCACCACTGGCATCACAGAGACTGAGACCCAAATGAAGATATCAAGCACGTGCACATGGCTTCGCAGACTCGCAGCGTCTGGGCGGGCCCCGTGAAGCGGCAGATGCCGCTGCATGCACAGCCAGCCACCACCTCAACCTCTGCGTGGGCCTGGCGTGCAGTGCCGGTCTTTACGCGGCCGACAATCCGGGCGGAAGCTGCGAAGGCGGAACCCCAAACCACCCTTCGGCCAAGCAAAGCTTGAGGCTCTACTAGCAGAGGTGGCCGCTCTGGGGCTCAAGGTGTCTGAGAAGCCCAAATGTGAGGCGCAGGTGAGCCTCTCCACAGCTTTAAGTCCCCCAATCAGGAAAATGTCCCCCAAAAAAAACACTGTCCCAAACACCGGCGCCTGCCATCATCCAATGCACCTTTGCTGACGCACTGCTTCTAGTTCCTACGCAACATGCACCAGTAATGCAGAATAGACCAACGGATGCAACAGGATGCAACAGGCATCTTCAAGAACATATACCGACCCCACACCTGAACTCCTGGAAGAGGGGGAATCTCACGCCGGGCACTGCAAGCACATGCAGTGCGCATGGGGCCTTGGCATGGCACGAAACAGCCCGGGTCTTCTGACAAAGTCTGCGGCTTCAGAGCCCTCCGTGCAACCAAGCGGCCCGTGTGGCACCCGCACCCGGCCCCCCAGCCGGCGGACTTCGCTCTCCAGCGTGGCATCGGCCTCGTAGGATCTCTTGAGGCCAGCACTCGCCCATGGCCGTACTTCGATCTTCGGTCAACGGCCACACGGTAAGGTGCTTGTCTTCCACCTGCCTTGCACTTCCGCACGGCTCTGCTGTTTCAGGGCACAGCACGTGGCACCGTCCCCTACTCATCAGCACTTCCAGACCTGGGGAAAGCCTTTGGAATTGCAGCCGCAGCCCACCTTCATCACCGCCGCGTATCTGAGCCGGAACTCCTCTGGGCCGATGTTCGCCCCCAGGATCACCCACCTTTGGCCGCTCGAAACGGAAGATGCTTTCACGGTACTCTCATCATCTCATCCCTCGGGCTTTTATTTCGGGGGCGTATTCAGCTTCCGTGCAGATTCCTTGCACGCTACGTATCGGTTGACTTTGGGCCGTTCATGAGGAACAACATCTCAGAAGAAGCAAGTTGGATCAAGTAGAACACATTGTGGAACACGTTCTGTAACTTCCCCACCGCCCTCCTGCGCCTCACCCTCGGGCTTCTCAGGCACCTTGAGCCCCAAAGCGACCACCTCTGGAAGCAGAGCCAGCTCTGCCTGGCCGAAGTGTTTCTGCGGACTTCTGGGTTCCGCCTTCGCAGCTTCCGCAGGTCTTGGAGATGGCTTCGGAGGCTCTTCGAAGGGTGTTTGGGGGCCATACGAAATGGGGTGGCCGTTCGCATGCACCAGCTCGGGAGGTGGCCGGTGGCACTGGGGTTTGTTGCGCCTGTCCCGGTGTAACCCTGCAACACCAGTTCCTGGAGTCTGCCTTCGGGGTGCTTTGGTCCTTGGCCACTCAGGTGTGGCCTGCTGCATTTGAGCGGACGTTGCACATGACCACCTTCCCAACAGATTCGGCAGCTGCGTCGGCGCAGCTAGCGGAACGACTGCCCAGATTGTCGGCCGCGTAATGAAAGCACTGCACGCCAGGCCCACGCAGAGGTTGAGGTGGTGGCGGGCTGTGCATGCAGCGGCATCTGCCGCTTCACGGGGCCCGCCCAGACATAGCGAGTCTGCAAAGCCATGTGCACGTGCTTGGTATCTTCATTTGGGTCTCAGTCTCTGTGATGCCCGTGGTGCATATGGACGAACACGAACCATTCATCAAGCTTCACACGGCGTTAATGATGGTCAAGCCCTTTCACACATAGCCAACGCAAGTGCAACAAAGCACGAGATGCCTCAGTATGCGCACGTGCAGCTGCGACAACATTCTACATGCCTTCTTTGTAGCTCAATCAGTGATCTTCCAGGAGCTGAGTGCACAGGAACCGCTCGTCCCAGCCAAACCAAAAGCACGCCTTTGTAATCCAGCACGCACCCTTGAAGCAACCTCGTAAAGAACCGTGCGCAAGCCGGAATCAATTGGGGAAAGAAAGCTTTGTGTTTGTTGTGCCAAAACTGGAGGCTTAGTAAGATTCCGGTACCAAAATTCGATGAGGTTTCATGCATCTTCGGAACGCGATGCACGACCCTCTTGCACGAAATGCTACTATCGTATGCTGCTATCGTATACTGCGAAAGCAAAACATTAGTAAACTACACTGATACACTACTTGTACTAACAATACCGTACCACAGCATACTGCTCGTGTGCTGAACACCATCTCTATATTTTTGATTTCCGAAATGAGGAACATGTAAATCCCAAAATAGACCATGCTCCAAACACCGGCGCCTGCCATCATCCAATGCGACTTTGCTGACGCACTGCTTCTAGTTCCTGCGCGACACGCACCAATAATGCAGAATGGACCAACGAAGGCAAATGGATGCAACGGGCATGCCTGAACTTTTGGGATAACCGCGACCACATGCAGCGAGCATGGGGACTTGGTATGGCACGAAACAGCTCGGGTCTTTGACAAAGTCTGCGGCGTCAGAACCCTCCGTGCAACCAAGCGGCCCATGTGGCACCCGCACCCGGCCTCCCAGCTGGCGGACTTTGCTCTCCAGCGTGGCATCGACCTCGTAGGATCTCTTGAGGCCAGCACTCGCCCATGGCCGTACTTCGATCTTCGGTCAACGGCCACACGGTAAGGTGCTTGTCTTCCACGCAGTTCCGGGCAGATCGCTGATTGAGCTGCCAAAAGGCATGTAGAAAGTTGTCGAAGTTGCACATGCGCATACTGAGGCATCTCGTGCTTTGTTGCACTTGCGTTGGCTATGTGTGAAAGGGCTTGACCGTCAACGACGATGACAAACTTGAAGCTGGATTTCTGCATTGTTGCAGTTCCTGAGGGTCTGTGCAGCGCTACTGCCGGAGGAGTTGAGGCTCAAGGAAGACGTTATCAAAGTTGCTGCAAGGAGCAATGTGCTCACTCGAGAGTTAGTGAAGTCATGTCCAAGCGCTCGTGCTATGACCGCCATATCATCTTGAAAGGCGAGCTGTGATCCGACATATGCTGCAGTAGTGGAGCAAGATCGCACCCATTCGGCTCCCGCCTGCCACATCAGCTCCAATAGAAGACCGAGTATGAGATAGTATTAGCATATGTGCCTGCATGGAGTGCCATGGACAAGCGCCTCCCACACCGGATCAGGGACATTCGACTGCAGCTGCAGGCGTCTGGCAAGACTGCCACTGCCGACGGCGCCTTGAGCAGACAGCTCGTGTCTTGTGTTTCAGTGTCAGGTCTCGACTGTGGGCTTACATGGGCGTCAGAAGTTTTGCAAATTGCAAATACTGAACTGTGGCGGAGTCAAAGCAAGGGATGCCTCATTAAAGTGGTGGCGAGGATCGAAGATGTTTTCAGGTTGAGGTTGTGGAGGTGCGGGGCATACATGCGTACGGGCCCTAATTTAAGCTTTCCGGTGTCAGGGATTGCTGTTTGGATTTCAGGTTTCAGGGATTATGGTGATGTTGGGGATTGCGGTTCTGGGTCTCCGGGAGACTCTGGTCTCTGGGTCCTGTGACTAGTGTCTCAATGTCTGAGTGTCTCGTTTTCAGTTTGCGCCCCGCTTGCACGAGCGTCTCTGGATGTCTGTGGTTTCATGCTGACCTCGGACTCTGAGACCAGGTGTGAAGGATGAGCTGTGCAAAAACTTCACTGAGTATGGCAGATTAAAGCAGCAAGCCCTCAGGAAGCTGGTGCTGCAAGAGCTGAGTACCCCGTTGCCGGCCACCGAAACATGTGGCACCGAAAGCCGCGAGTGTCAAGATGCGCCGACTGCTGGCCCTCCGAAGAAGAAACGCCGGAAGGATGCAAAAATTGCTCCTCAGGACACAGCCTTTCCAGACCGGCCTCTCAAAGAAAAGGAGGGGATGAACGAGTCGATGCGGCGGCTTTACGCTCAAGGACCTGCGAGTGCGACGGCGACGGCGCGTGCGCCGGACGAGAAGGTCGAGGGTGCCTCTCGGCGTGTCCGAGAGAAGGCTATGGCTGCAGCCCGCCGCGAGCAAGGACTGCCGGAACCGCGCGGCTCCGGTTTTCAACCAGAGGAACGGCCTGAGGAAAGGCTTGAGGATCTCGGAGGCGTCGACGAGATTCTCATGGACTTACGCCAGCTTGTCGTTCAGCCTCTTAGCCACCCGGAGGTTTTTCAGCACCTTGGTGTCCAGCCTCCGACTGGGGTTCTTCTTTTTGGACCGCCAGGGTGTGGAAAGACCAAGATCGCTCATGCCATCGCCGGTACGACTGGGGTCCCGTTCTTCAAGATCGCCGCCACGGAAATTGTGTCAGGCATGTCTGGTGAGTCGGAAGCGAAGATCCGCCAGCTTTTCCAGGCTGCCATGGCCGCGGCCCCAAGTCTGATCTTCCTGGACGAGGTAGATGCCATCACGCCCAAGCGTGACTCTGCGGGTCGTGAGATGGAGCGCCGCATTGTGGCTCAACTTCTCACATGCCTCGATGAGCTTCAGAAGGCCAATGTCGTTGTCCTTGGGGCTACAAACCGACCCGATGCCCTTGACCCAGCTCTCAGGCGGGCAGGGCGCTTCGACCGTGAGATCGCCATGGGCATACCAGACGAGGCCGCGCGTGCCCGAATTCTGGAGAAGATGGTGACGGGCATGCGCCTGGCAGAAAACTTGGATCTGCAATTCTTGGCGAAGAAGACGGCAGGATTTGTAGGTGCAGACCTGTCGGCTTTGACGAAGGAGGCGGCTCTTGGAGCCGTCCAGCGGGCATTTTCTGGACTGCAGTCCCAAAGGAGTGAGCAGTGCCAGCAGAGCGAGCCGAAGGAGTCCTCCGACACGTCGCTTCTCCGGCCGTACACTGCAGAAGAGATGGCGAATCTGGCAATCGATGCTGCAGACTTCACAGAAGCACTCGCCAGAGTCCAGCCGTCGGCGCGGCGTGAAGGCTTCTCAACCATTCCAGACGTGAAGTGGGAGGATGTCGGCGCACTGCAGGAGGTCCAAGCCGACATGGACGCCGCGGTCTGCGAGCCGATTCGACAGGCGGAGCTCTTCAGAGAGCTTGGTTGGGGCCTCAGCGTGACACATCAGTGTTGTGTCACCGAGCGTGTGTGTGTGTGTGTGCTCGCGCAAGCTGTGGCTGTGTCTGGCTTGGCAGCTTTCTCACTCGAGGATGCACAGCACGAGCTTAAGAACCAAGCAAAAGGGCAGTGGGTGCTAGCAAATCTGTCGTTAATATTTGATATGAAGCCTCGACCGTTTTTGTAGTCCGAAGACAGTAACTCATGCCAGCCGAGCTTCACCAGCCTACAGTTCAACACTTCGCAGAACCGTCCGGACATTGCTTGGGTGGTGTGGGAGCCGGAATGGCCAAACCAGCCACCCCCAAGAAGGACCGAACGGGCTCTAAACACCAGTAGGCACGTCGGCATCTCAGAAGTTGCAGGACACCTTTGCGGTGGATCTATACCCGGCACCGCTGATCAAGTGGCACCCATCTGTCGAGCAGCATGAGTCTCTCGTCATGGATGCGGAGAAGCGTGGCTTGATCAACAAGCAGCTGCCTCAGAGCGCAACTGCTGCACGGGCCCAGTAAGGGCCCCTCGTTCTGAAATTCGCCGGTTCTGATCTCGCAGTCAGAGAACGAGGCCAAAACAGCCGGTGCATGCCCGAAGCACTTCAAACACAACTACAAAGATTGGAAGCCAGGCGCGTGGACCTCTACTGGTATCTCCCGCTATGTCTAGACTTGGTTGATGGGTTCCTTTTCAAGCGGTATACAGTGCGCCCTGCGAGGATGAGGAGCTGACAGTGCGGCTCAAAGCAGCGATTGCGTTAGAACCGCCTGTTGAGCCCTCGGGCCTCTCGGCTAAGATCGAGTGCGAGGTAGTGTGACCGGGCTTCACAGTCATACGTACTGGTTCACAGCGAATGTGCTGAGGTGGCTACCGAGCCACAGCTTTCTATCAGAGCGAGGGCTTGGAACCGCGTGAAAGGCGGAAATGTCAGCCGAAGCAGGCACCGGAGTTAAGGGAGCCCAAGCCCGAAGGTAGACTGTGCCATCCCAGGAGAATCCTTCTATTTGGGGCTTCTTTTGGAGTCAAATCTCCCAAGTCCCTGAAACGAAGCTTGGAGTGCCCACCGATTTTTTTTGTGTGGTCAAGTGGTCTGTTGGAGTTGTACCCGTAGTGGTTCCCTGAAAGATTCCCTTGAAAGAGTTCCTTAACGGGGGCCTGCAAGTGGTTTTGTAGGGTTTCTCTTAAGAGCTTCTAGGGTGCTTCTTGAATGGCTTTTGGGCATGGAGTGCTTGGATAGTTGATCCGTTCTTTGCACGGACAGGCTGCCGAAAGCAAGTATGGTAAGAAGCTGCACGATTGTTTTTTGGAGGCAGGTCCGCAAAAGCATGGGCATGTGCTGTGAAGAGGCTGCGTTGTCTTTTCGCAAAGCTGCCTTTACAAGGCCCAATTTCGCATACCGTACAACTCCCGTGCGCTGTGGCAGCAGTCGGCGATGTTTTTCAGCTGGCATGGTCAGCGGCGCAATGCAGCACTAACTGTAAGACAACTCTGCTGAAGCCGAGGAGCAGTTTGTCAAGGTGGCAGTGTATGCGGTGGCTGACGGTGCGGATGTGCCAGTTGGTGAAGCCACAGTGCCCATTGCGGACCCAAAGTCCGAGACCATGACTGGCTGGCGGCACAGCTGCAAGAAGATGCAAGAAGCTGGCGGATCCTACCGCATTGCTGGGAGCTCAAACGATGGCAAGGTGACAAGCCGCTGTTGCATGTTGTAGGGTAGTCGAAGCAGAATAAAACGTCCAGAGTCGACAAACCGCTAAATGGGCCAACAAGTCGGCCACAAGCATTGCGCCAAGTGACCTCATCTACGCAATCGAGCCTGCTCGATCGGCGCATATGCCCCAGCATGATCTCGCATGTTTCGGACACACACCATTAGCCATACCTTCAAGCTTGGGTTCAACCAGTGTTTTCAGCTGTCCGGAACATATAAAGCCTGACCGAACACATCGCGTGGATGCCCGCGTCACCGGACGGGGTTCGTCGGCTGCAAAGACGCATTTATGTAGGGGCTTAAAGCTGACTGGGTTCCGGTACAGGAGTAGCAGCTCGCAGGACACTCCACTCCTTGGTTCTTTCCCGAGCACTTTGTTGAGATGCGTCCACAAGTTCATCTTACTCGTTCCACCCCTGAACACACCACAAAACCCAGTGTTCCAGCGCAGCCTTCGACTCTGAGGCGACTTATGCAGGACTTCGAAGAGACCGGGGAGGCTAGGTTGGAGGTAGCGCATCACTCTGTATGAATCGAGCTCGCCTGCGTTTCAGTCAGGTCGAGCTCCAAGTGGTCTTCCCCGGAGATGATGTTTCAGTAGCAGAAACAGCCGATAAGTCGACTGAAAGCTATGAATCCAAGTTGCACGTCAGGCTATTTTTGCTTTCTTGGTTCGGTCATACGTGAATCATACTTGGGCAATTGCGTCAGCAGAGACAGGGTTAGAAGCGATCTATGCCTACATCGGCATTTTCCGATCACGAGTGGAGGTGACGCTTGTTGTTACTCACTGAATGCAACACTGCAGACCACCTGCAAGGACCTGGAAGCAAAGTACGCCTCCGTGGCTTCAAAGTCTGTGGTTGAATCTGTGGGTGAGCTGCAGTCGAAGCAAGAGTCCGCTGAATCGATGGTCCCAGAACCTACGAGTCACATGTCGGACACGCGCCCCGCCTGCATTAGTGCAGAGAGGATAGCACTGAGGGAAGGGTGTGTAAACGAGTGATGTTCTGTAACACCCAACTTCTTTCCCGAGTAATAAACCCATCTAATTAATGCAAATAAGAGGCTGGCAGGCCGAGAATAAATAATGAAGACGAGCCAACACGCGACCCCACCTGTGTATGTCCACTGAAGGAAGCAGATGCATTCGCTACGGTTTCAACTGCGCTAGGACGCAAGACCGCAGTGCCACCAGCAGGCCACAAACGCATTAAAATGGCAGAAGACACATGTAGCCTCCCCTCTACACTCCTGCGACCTGCCAAGGCAAATCAAGCCGTGGATAGATCAACAGCACACAAAGAGGATTTCACGGTTTTCCTTTGTTGCAAGATGGACTCGTGGGAAGATGTTGTATCGGTTTTGATTCGTCTGCTCCCATTGGATTGTCCGAGTGTTGCGGCGGTGTCGACCACTGGGCTCTTTGCAGTTGGAAGGTCCTCGTCATGGGAGCAAATACAGTGCGAACCAGCCAGCAAGAGAAACACTGGATACCCGCACATGTACATGCGCATTCCAGATACATTGATTACATAGAGGCATTCAGATACGATGTCCGTGGATGTATAGAAACGCACAGATCCATAGATAGCTCGCTCGCCAGCCAGCTATACAGATAGTTGGATGGATGCATCGACACATAGATAGATAGGTAGATAGGTAGGTCGGTGGATGGGATAGATGGATAGGCAGGCAAACAGTGCTTGCACACTCCTGACGCCAAGTCGAGCACCTGTATAGCTTGTGATATCTTGCACTAACCAGATAGTGTGTTGGACGATAGTAAATTTTGGCATGGCGAAGCCAAGCACTCCAATTTCGCGTTTGCAGTGCGCACCTCTGCGGGGGACCGAAAGAAATGTGCGATATTGTGTGACACAACTCTGGCAATCTAAGAGAGTGCGTGTTTGTGTATGCGCGTCTATGTCTACGTGGATATGCATGTGTGATTCAATGCATTTATGTGCCCGCACTGCTTGACTTGGCCAAAGACGTGCACATGTCTAGTAGACATGCAGCATATATGCTTGGCACATCGGGCCATGTCAACAGAATTGTATGACAAGCCTGACTCCAATACTGTTGACAACGTTCGCAAGAAACCAGTCATGGTTCTCATTTGGTCAACGAAGCTTCAGTTGGTCTGGTTGGTGTCGCCACAGCACCGTCTTGCGGAATCCACAGAAATGACGCGATTTGTTTGATTGCTCTGAAGGCTCGTCACACAAGGTGCTACAAGTAGCTGTCCTTCGCAGACCTATAGGTTGAAGTTCATACTTCGGAAGACGTGCAGACCCGCATGTTGCCTGAGCTCACGTTGTGCAGGCCTGTGGAGAAGGGGGTGGAGTCCATGGATGCTTCCTTCTTCGCCCTCAATGCCGGTGACAAGGCTCAGGTCGGACGCTGAGAAGCAGACCCGGTCTCTCCGTGATTTTCCATGGCCATGATGCTGTTGGGGATGCTCAGGTCTACTCCAAGTCGACCCTCGACTCAGATCAACAGTTGGTCGGATCGGATAGACAAGCTGAGACCGGCAAGATGAGATGGATAGTTGACTTGGCACCCTCTCTGTGTAATGTGTAGCTTGCCGTAGTCATTGAAACTGGAGCCGGGGCCGAGCACCGTATTGAGGGAGGCACTGCGAGCTTGACTGAGGACTGGGGCTTGGGTGGTCGCCTCCATTGTGCACGTGGACCATGCTCGTAGTGAGCTCATCGTTCAACACGGTGGCCTGCCCAATCTTGACTGGCTGTTCACACAGCGGCTCAATAACTCGTGCGTCACTTGCGACGGTATCGCTGAGTGTAGGCAGCGTTTTTGGGCCGGTCCCGCACCATGAGAGCTGAGGCGAGCATCGGAAAGTGGTAAATCTCAGGTCGCACAACCTTGCAGCAGCTCTTCAGCATCATGCCTTGCTAGCCGTCCAGCTGGTCTTCTTTTGCAACATGGTTTTGCACCCAAGGACTTCTTCCGGCCATGGGAAGCACTGGATAGCCCAAGCTTGTCTGGTGTGAGACTGGGATCGGGGGTGGAGGTTTACTCACAAAGCGTGCCACGGCGGCACCAGTGGTTGCCGATTTTCATGTCTCCTAAAGACCCAAGTCCCCGTTGTGCTGCAAGAGGAAAGAGGATGCTAACTAGTTCTATGTTTGCGTGTGTTCGACAACAGCTTATTGTACGTGTTGGCATTGCTGCTGAAGCTTGGGTGAAAATCTGCAATGGTAGATACCATGTACCAGCAGAGGTGGCAGGTTTGGGGCATCAGGGCGTAGGATATTAGATTTTTGAATATCAGGGTTCCTATCCCCGATGAGGATGTTAAGTTCTTTATTATACCAGTGCTAGAAACGTTAGGAGCAGCTGTTGTGACTCGTTTCTGAAGTCGTGAAACCCGGCCACCACCGCAGTGCGAGGCTCTTGCTTTCACAGTATCAATTTATGAAGACCACCATTCCGATGCTGACAGTTGTCGTGTCTGTTTGTGCTCAGCTTCTTTACATCTTGCCTGTCCTAGTTGATGCACCAATCAAAGGTATCGCGCAAATGTTCAATACGGCGTTGAATCTGTGGTGTGCAGCTTGCGAAAGATTGCTGAACAATGCCACGGAATCTTCGATGCTAACATCCTGTCATCATTCGGCTGCATGATGCAACAACATTGCAGATCTCGCCATGACAGGGTTTACAACGTGCAACCGTGCTTGAGTTTAGGCAACGTGTTTCGAGCAAGTGGGGTTCGATCTGATGTGGCTTCGATCGCACCCAAGCTCGGCACATGAAATCGGATAGCAATGTCGCTCGATCAGTTCTGCATGGTTCGCTCCGTTCGATGTACAGGCTGGTCGATGGAGCGCTGGCGAGGTCTCTCGCGTAGACCTGCAGCGACAGGAGGTCTCCGTCGAGTACGAAAACAGAGTGAAAACAGCACCTTTCCTGCATGGCTGCAAAGGTGCAAGTTTGGGGTGATGCAGTTTGCAAGTTTGTTTCCAAGTTGAAAGGGTGATTTTGCTTTGGTGTTCTGGCCGGAACAGATACATGCAGATCTTGATCTGGGCTGGAAACAAGTAACAAGTTCAAACGGACATCTCCGAGCCAAACAACCAAGGCTACATCGGAGCATTTGAGTTTCCTTATTTGTTCCTAAAGACAGTGCACATATCTGCATCCGCCCTGGCACACAAGCCATGCCAAGATGAATGCAGGATTCTGATGAGAATCCGATCCAGTGCCAAAACCGGGTCTGTCTTCCACGTCGTGTTTCCCAGCGTAGCCTCCTGACTCCTCAATCCCAGAATTCATACCCCATACCCCAAGTTTGTGCGACCCACAATTCATGCATCCTCGCGTTGTCCGCGAATTGCCGAACTCTCCAAGTCGGGTCTCTTGCAGTGGTGCGCTGAGGTGAAAATGACATCACCAGCAGCTTGTCAGATGTTTAGACTCCAAGCCTGGAAGGTGTTCTTTCTTCAACTTTGCGCAAACGCGAACAACAACATAAAGCGGAGGAGGTTTCATTTGTCCGATGTCGTAGTGTCGCAGTAACTATCGAAGTGTTTGAAGAAATACTTCAGTCAGAATGGTCAGCCTTCACAGGTTAATGTGATGCACCTGCTGCTAGAATGCCCCATCACAGGAACAGCATGTTCATAATAGTGAAAGGACCTACAACAATCCAGAAGACCAGAAAGCCCAGAGCACAAGAGCATGCCGAGAATATCAGAGAGCACTGCGGACCGAGACTATTTGCCCTCGAGCTAAGGACCTTGAAAAATACTTCCGTCAGAAACAGGAAGAAGTGCCGAGCTCACCCACGACACCTTCTGCCGAAATTCCACAAAACGGGGTGCAAGGTCTTCAAAACCAAGCTCCCGCGATGCCAGTGGCTGCTCCAGCCACGGCTGGTCCGCAGCCAGAAGCCGTTCCTGGTGCTGTTTCTGGTGCCGGCGTGAGGCAAATACCCGTCGCCGTTGCTCAACCATCTCAGCCACAGTACCAGGCGGTGTTGAAAAGAGAAATCACACCCCAGACGGGACTGATGCCAGTTGCAGCCTTGCCCGCGCAAGTTGTGTCTCCTGGGTGCATCACGTACACAGCGCCACAGGGTTTTACCTACAGAGTCGAAGCTCCAGTTGCGCAGTGGGCGGGGGCACCTGCCAAGCCGCAGTTTTCGCCAGCCTACACGGTTGCCACGCATCCTGCGCCAGCTTGGGCGACAGGACGACCTGCCTAACCGGAGCTTCTCTTTTGCTTCTCTCTCTCTCTCTCCCTCTCTGTCTCTCTCCTTCCCTCTTTCTCTCTTGCGGGCTGTGAAAAGCAATCCCGCGTTGAATGCAGCGGTCAAAATGACACTGGGACGAGAGTTGGAGCAGTTGAAAACGAGCGGTTCTGCAAGGTCAAGGTGAAGGCAGCACCTGCGGTGAAGCCGAAGCATGCCACGCTGGTAGCTTGAGCTTTCAACAAAGGTCTCACTGTTCCAGTGGGCGTGCTTCTTTTTGGGCCGCCTGGTTGTGGCAAAACCCTGCTTGCAAAGGCCGCACAAGCTTGCAGCATGTATCGGCCCATGCCCGTGTTCTGGTCGATGCTCTTCAGGCAACTGCCAATCAGAGTGGTGCCAACTTCATTGCCGTGAAGGACACTGTACAGCTGATTCCTGTCAGCTCACTTATATCATTCTCGTTCATTCGTTCCATTCAGCAGTCTTGGACAGCGGCAGCTCATTCATAGTCAGTAATTTGTCTCAGCTTGACCACGTGCAGAGCTTCTCGCTCATTTTGTCAGGGAGTTTCCAGTTTCCATTCCTCGGCTTTTCGAAGATCCGACATGCCTCGGGCTTTGTCAGGGCCAGGTCGGCTGGAATGCTCATACCAAAGCCTTCGGTTATGAAGCCTGACCGTATATCTCGCGATGAGAGAGTGTTGACGTTGTGCCCGTGGAGGTTCAGAGCACCCCCTCCCCCCGATCCGACTTGAGCACTGTTTTCCGTAACTGCCACTCCTGAACTGGAACCCCAAAGCAAAATGTAAACACAGACTGAATCTGCCTATGTGCGCGCAGGGCCCGGAGTTGCTGAACAAGTATGTGGGTGAGTCTACTGCTCAGACAGGTTTATGGACAGCATGGAACAGAGAGTCACAGTCTGGCGCGGTTCTGCATGGTGCTTGCAAACTGTGAATGCGTGGAATAGGAGGGACGTGAGAGGAGCCAATTTAAGCAGGCAGCAGTGAAGCTATCCCGAAAAGCCGTGATATCCATCTGCACAGGCACGGACACATGTCTCAGGTCGGAACGAGCTGTTCGGCTTGTGTTCCAGCGAGCCAGAAGCTCTTCTCCGTGCGGGCAGCTGAAATGCTGCTGTTCCAATTGATGCAGCTGTGGCACAGGGATAGGGAGTGAGACATCTTCAGTCACCGAAGGTGTCATTTTCTTCGACGAGCTCGATGCGCTGGTGCCGAGGAGGCGAGCGCATGAGAGTGAGTAAAGGATGAGTAAAGGGTTCGTCAATGCTCGTGACCGATATTTCCCAATTAACGATTCCTGTGCAACGGCCCTGTCCAGAGGTCTGCCGAGGGCACGGGCTCGTCAGAACGCGTTCTGCCCTCGATGTGCAGACAAGCCTCTGACAGCGGCCATCTTACAGGATCCCCATGCGCAAAAAGCTTGTCTTATGAGCATCCGATGCAAAGATGCACCGGAGTCAGCAACCGCATCCCTTCCAATCTGTGCACCAGCATCCTGACAGAATCCAAGTCATAGCCTTCGCAATCCAAGCCCCTAGCCTTCCAGACCCTTCCCAAACTCTGTCTGTACAAAAGGGGATAGAATCTGATAGAACCGACTAGGTCGTGAACCAAATGCTCACCGAAATGGACGGCGTGCAGTCGCGCTCGCAGGCACTCAGCTGCAAAGCATGATGAGAGCATGTGTCTCCCAGCAGCAGTTGCGTCAGAAAGGTTTATGTCATCGCTGCCACGAATCGGCCGGACATTGTGGATCCTGCAATGCTGCGGCCAGGTAGACTTGTGCCTGCAAGAGAAGGCATCTTATGCATGGCAATCTGCAGGCCGTTTAGACCGACTTCTTTACGTGCCTTTCCCGTCTGCTGCATGGCCCTTACGTTTAAAGGTGAAGACGAAGCGTGGATGCACCATGATGCGCCGTTGCAAGCAGCTAGAAGCAGGTCGGTCGGCTAGAAATCCTCCAGACGCACATGAGGAAGCATGAGACCCGGAACATGCAAGCTAAGCTGCTGGACTTGTGGCCAGTCGAGCTGGCTTTCTCTCCGAGGCTGCCGTTGGCCGCCGATGTGGCGGTCTGCTCGGTTTGTCACAGTCCCAAAAGCGCAGGAGCAACGCGAGACTAGGATCGGCTCAGGATCTGCAAAGAGTCGCAGAGGACGCTGATGGCTTCAGTGGCGCTGACCTGGCGTCCTTGGCCCGTGAAGTTCGCTTCTCGGGGAAAGCTGCAAGAGGTGCTGCAGTGTTGCCTGCCTGTATGTTTCGCTTCAGGCTGCGATGCTGGCAATCCGGGATGCGGCTGCTGCTGCGACCAGGCCTCGAAGCGTCAGTTTTGGAAGCACGAAGCTCTCTGTCAGAAGCAACTACTCCGTCACAGTCTTGTAAGCACGATGGCACACAGATGTTCATGTGCGGACGGGAAAGCTCTTCTAACAGTGTGTACCTGGTCGAGTTAAGTCGGTCTATTGCACAGCCTCCGGGAGCGGATGGTGACTCGATACTAGTTCTTGACAGGATCTCCGCGAGCGCTTCTGGCAATGGCTCTGCAGGAGATCCCAAGACACAGGAGCTCCAGCGATTTGTGAGTGGCCGCATTATTCAAGACTAGCATGTTTGCCAAGGAGAAGGAAAAGTCTCTCGCTGCTGCTGCCGGTGTGCAGGACTGGCTTTAGGACTTTGGAGGTCGTTATGCGATGCTTTGAGCATGGACAGGTGACGGCCGACCTTTTGTGGAAGGCCAGGAGCCGCGTCCAACCTTCGGTCAGCCAGCAGGACCACTGTGCCCACGCCACCATCACGGCCCGCAAACTCATTCCACTGCGGAGGAGCGGCGGGAGTACGAGCAGCTCGCAGCTCGCTTGTGTGGTTGGCGATCAGCTGGAGGTTCGTGTTTGCTGGAAAGGCAGTGAAAGAAAGGCTGAATGCACTTTTCTGCAAAAAACCGCGAGGGCGAGCAGCCGCCGGAGCCAAAGTGACCTAGCGCATACATTTGTTTGCTGGCATACACTCTCTCATACACTCTCTCTTGTACACATGTTTCACCTGCGGAGATGAGTAAGCGGCAGCATGTACCGCCTTGGGACTGAAGTCAACTGCTAAGACTGGGACCGAAGCCACGGCATTCATTCAGCTGACGCTAGCGACATCTCCCTCTGGCGAGGCGAAGTCCTCATCGATTCACAGCTCACAGTGTGGCAGCTTCATGACAGAAGTGTGCCTTGCAGCACAAGCAGTTGCCGTTTGTCATGGATTGTCAACTGCAGTGCAGCAGCCTTATTCATGTGGGTAGTGATCATGTGCGCAAGTCGCCGAGAAGCGCTTGGGACATGCTGCGCCTGCAAAACTTTCCGACCGATGTGCTCGCCGCCGCTTGTTGAACAGGTACTGCGCAAAGCAGACATGACAGTTTTCCATAGCTTCTAGTTGGGGCATACTGGTACAACAGTTGTTTAAAACTTTGAGCAGCAGAGAGCAGCTGCTGCATAAGATCTCCCGTGAGTTGACCAAGAACTATCCCGGAGACCGTTGACCTTCTTAGCTGTCAGGTCGCCCTCCCGCTTGGAATCAAAGCACGGAAGACATCGGTAAACAAAAAATAAACGTTCATGCCGGCCGGTTTGCGCGATGGCTCATCACGATTGAAAGCCGTGTTGCCCTCAGCGTGGATCGAGTGCAGCATGCAGACTGCAGTTAATTGTTGCAGACCGCAAGCATGTCAAGGTGACAAGTGCCAACGTAATTCGACAACACCCGTTGTTCATCTCCCCTTCTCTTTCTCTCTCTCTCTCTCTCTGTCTCTCTCTCTCTCTCTCTCTCCCTCCCTCTCTCTCCCCCTCCCTCCCGCTCTGACTTTCTGTTTGTCTCAAAATGAGATGTATAAATGATTTTACATGTGAAGGACCGAGTTGTTACAGGGTACTACCTTTCGTCTTAAATAACATCTTTCATCAGTTGTTCTATGTTTTCTTCTATATTATCTACTTTTCATTATCAATGGTCTAGTTATAAAATCTGTCATTATTACGCCCGACGCGACATTGATTTTAATAAGCAGTAGCATATAGGATATAGGTATTTCTGGCACGTCATTGAATACGAAAAGACACTCGGTAATAGTCTTCTATAATCCAGCATTTTGTGAATCTATATCATTTATTGAAACTCGCTTCTGTCCCCAATTACATGGAGAATCTACCCTTTATGTGGACATGCAGGCTAGATGCTTTTCCGATGCCTTGCCTGTAGCATTTCGCAGCTCATGGCCTGGAACGCGTTAGGATTAAAGTTCTGTAGTCTGATCTCAGTGTGTTGCTGGATCGTTGTAATGTTCAAGCTCGCGATCTGATAGTCAGCTAAGGCAGCAGATAGGAGCTTTAGCTACTTCAGCCGCTGACAGCCCCCTTTTAGCCTAGCCTAGCCCGAGAATATTCGGAGCATCGATCCCGTGGCCGATTCCACAGGCCGGATCCATGGCAGGTTGTGTAGATGACTTGTCTACGCTGACTGCGCGTTCTCTAGCTTTCTTTCTGGATCTTGGCGAAACTGGGAGGCTGATGGGCCACTGATGAGCATTCATGGAGGCTTCGAGGCAGGGCTACCGACTGCTTGCCGATTTTTCTGGTATGCTTCAGGCCTTTACGGGCTGTTTGAGGGCCGGGAGGATCGTAAGACTGTTGTTCAGTTTATCTGTGCAGCTATGGACCATCGCGCACAGCCCCGGAAGGCAGGCACACGCAAACCCGACCAAATCCCGTGTGCTGGATGCCAAACACAGAATTGAACCCTTGTGTAAGTATACGGTGGTTGTAGTATCGTCAGTCTTTCGTGGCTGTAGACGAACGGCAGATTCAATACTGGGAAAGGCCGAGTGTGGGGATGCGACGACTTTTCAGAACCTGAACCTGTTACCGGGTCAGCATATGGGGGTCGCGGTCCTGCCAACTTCACCGGCGAATCACGTCTGGTGGACCGGGACGATCCCGAGAACAGAACGAGTTTTGAAACAGTAGAGAGCCGCCACCGGAGTTTACGCAGACAGTCAATTGAAATGAGGAAAAGACCGCCAGCGGTCACGAGACGGCAAAATTGGGCCAATTTGTGGCTTCAGCCGCCTAGCAGCACCACACCCAGTCTGTGCGAAGCTCAGTACCTGCAACAGGGACAAGTGGCGTGAAACGCCGCCCTACTTGGAGGATCATGGGACTTAGTAAGTAAGGTTATAAGTCCCTTAATTGGGGTTATAAGTATAGTTACCCTAATTATAACCCTACTTACTAAGTCCCATTATCCTTTAAGTACTGGCTGCGCGAGACGAGCGGGCGCTCGAAAGGCGAAGCCAGGTCTCAGTGCAAGCTCGGCGAAGATCGCCGCCCAGACTCTAGGCTAGTTTGTCGCTGAAGAAAGGCAAAATAGCATGGTAAAGGCGCTTCTCCGGTCCCACGTAGGGGGTGACCTATGCCATCCCATGCCGGGGCATTGAGCCCTGCGTCCTCTCAGCGAACATAACGACTCCAAAGGGCATCCATGAACGCACACTGCCCCAGTTGCCGAAGTCTTGCCCATTTACGCCTCGAGTTCGAAGGCAATCAGGCAAGCAAGGAACCAGGGGCGGCCACATCGGAAAGTCCTGCTCCCCCAGCCAACGAATCAACTTCAGATGGTTGAAAGGATTGGGAGTTTTTGTCGCAGCCCGCAGATTTGATCTGGAATCTAGATGTGGTCCTGAGATGTCCTGAGAAAGGGGTGTTATGCATTGGGCTGTTGCTTTCTGAAGTCACTCTGTATTTCTAGCATCAGTCGGTGCTTAATGCGTCCTTGTGTTGCAAGCATCGCTTGTGGTACTGCTTATGCGGGAAGTTTCTGATTAGTTCTGCTTGCTATTGTTCGTCACGAGCATCCCCTGTCTTCAGCCATTTTCGCAGCTGTCAGGAGCTGTATGTCCTTTCCGTGCTGCGAGGACGACCAGGGCACCTCGACCTCAGATCTAAGAGATTCAAAGAGCATTTGGCGAGCGTATATTTCAGGGGCTCTCTTCGACTTTCGAGGTTTGGAGCAGTTCGGGACTTTTTTTTGATTGCTGTGCAAGAGTTTTCCTTGCACCGCTCACTGCCACTGGTCTTTGAGCGAACGGGTGGAAAGGTGACCACGACCCCAATGCGACACTTGGAATGCACTTGATACCACTTCGCTGTTGAAGCAGGACCTTTTGCAGGATTCGTCATTTGCACAACCGGAAATCGGCTCGCATAGAGCTGAGGTATCGCTTGACGGAAGTGGTGCTAGTTGGACCTGCGCCGGCACCAGAGGAGCGAGAGCTCCACCCTTACAGGGTCGCACTTGGCCGCCAGAAGGGATCCGATGCACAAAATCTTGGTCGGTACCTACAGAAAGGTCTCGGCCAGAGACGCTTTTGCGCAATGGCTCCCGGTGCGCATGTGTGTCTGTGGAGACTGTGGATGGGCTTTGGCCATGTGATGGCGAGGTACACAGGGCAGTGGAAAGGAAATTTCAGGGACGGCCGTGACCCCAGAGGTTAAAGGCTCGACCCTTGTGTGCCGGGACATATCATGGCGTCCCACAAGGCCTAAGCTTCGGCCGCCCCAGGTATCCTGTAGTCTGCATCAACACAGACCACAGCAAACGTGTCCTCAGCAGCCCGAGCCAAGCATACCTGCATCGAGGCCCCGACTAGTTCGCTCTGTGCTTGAGCTGAGCCGCATCTTGTGACCTGAGGCTCGGGCAGCTTGGTTTGGCCTGATGGTGCCAGCTACGTCGGCGAGTTTTTGGAGGAGCAATGTGCAGTGCCTGTGTCCGGAATTTGCGCGTTGCACATCTCGGCTCGACTACTTGAGAGGACGTGGCAGAAGGCTATGGGAAGTTCATGCAGCCAGAAGGGGATGCAACAAGCTCAGGAGGGCTCTTTTTGCCAATCAGCACTGGATTTGCGCAGATCTTCAAGTATAGTGTCAACATGCAGTAAGATCGGCTGACGGCACAGTTGAGGTCTATGAAGGCCATTGGAGAGCCGACAAAGCCCACGGGAAAGGAAAGTACACTCAGGAGCTTCCCTTGGGCGCCTGCTCGGAATGCATCTCCAGCGAGTGACGAGAGGTCGATGGGGCCGTCTTTGAAGGCGAATGGGCCGCTGCCTCGGATGCATCCCCACAGTTGTGGCCACGAACGGTCCTTCCGAGTCGCTCAGGTAGCTGACCAACAGCATGGACTTGGCCAGGCCTTGGCGCGGTCACCGCGCGAAAACATCTTTGCTCAGAGCATCAGAGCTGCAGGAAACCTGGCCTGATGGTTCTACGTATGTTGGCGAGCCGCCTTCTCAGAATTAATGGAAATTTGGGAAGCCAAGCCTCCAAAAACGCTGCGCACCCGAGGTACCTTGAGGGGAAGAAGACGGGAAAAGGCACTTTTTCTTGGCCTGGCGGGTCCGGTACACGGATGCCAGTTTCTGCAGCCTGCATACTATATTATAGACACATTCGAGAAATCTGGGGAGTCGTAGCTCAATGTTCGTGGAAGTGTGGTGTTTGAATCAGGATGCTGGTTCAGCCTGTGCCATCGCCAGTTCCTGCTTTCAGGTCAAAGTACTCGGGCACCTTCAAGGACAATGAGATCGATGGTGAAGGCGACGCTGAACTCCACGTCAGCTTTCAGAAAGTCCATGTGGGAGTTGCAGAAAATCTACCGATCAGAAACTATCAGCACTGCTAGGGCCAGCTTAAAAGGACGGCGAAGCCGCTAAGCCTCTAAGCAATGTCCGGCCTGGCTGCTGCCGCGGAAAGTGCAAGAACGCTGGCAGTATCAGGGACGCCGAGCACAGTTAGGTCCAGGTAAAGCAACTGAAGTGGCCGAGTGAGTCCATCATCCTTGCATCAGGGCGACACATCGCCATCACTGAACCAGCATCTGCAGACTCTGCAACACTTTTATAAAGCGCGATCTTCTGTTGCAATGACAGGAACCTACGACTGGTCGGACGGCCGGCGCTATCATGGACAGTGGAGCAGATGTAAGATGCATGGCATCGGTGCCACACCCCTCGCTTCCCCGTGTGGGTGAGTTTGGACTTGACACAGGCTGAGAAGCATATCCTGAAGCATCCGGCCAGGTACATGTGTTTGGCCCGACGGAAGATCCTACGAAGGCTTCCTGCTTTGTTCCGAACTGGTTGGGGCCAGTGAGGTCTTTAGAGACGCCAAGACCTGACATTGAAGGCCTCAAGGTTTCAGGCAAGATATGCGAAATTATGCGTTTGGGGCTACTGCATGCGGATAAACTTCGAAAGAGAGAAGCCAGCGCAGCCGAGAGGTCGTTACCACTACGACAAGAAACATGGTTACGGCGTTTTCCGTTGGCACGGTGCTTATTTGCAGCCGTACAAACAAGGCTTGCGAGCCAGGGACACGGTGGAAATCTCGGTCGAATTGCCTGCGCCACTTGAAAACCAAGGCCAGATGGCAGCCGCTTCACGGGTGAGTGGCAAGACGGCAAGCAACATGGTGCTGGCGGTGGGCTGAGGACTCACGGACCACACTTTGCAGATCTCTTCCGAATGTCCAACTATGCTGCTCATGAGTCTTTCTTGGCGACTCTAGGAGCTATCATGTTCGTGATGGTTGCTATTTTTCTTATTGATTGAAACTTTGACAGTTCTGAAAGAACCAGGAGGCTTGATGTCTCTCTGATGGCAGGCCTAATTGAAGCTAACGCTTTGATGGCTCGACTCCAGGCATGTCTGCAGAGCTAGGGTCGTGGCACAGAGCGATTGAGGAGGAGTGCATGTAGCTGCAACAATTGCTTGCCGTGGCATCGTTCGCCAATGGGATTGCCTGTCGCAGTCCTGCCGCTGCAAGCTAGTCAAGGACTATCCTTTCAGCGGTGAAACGGGACGGGCCGGATGTACACACGAGAAGGGACAGGGAGGGCACGATGCGGGTATTCTAGAAAAGGAAACGGTGGGGGGGCTCCTCGTCGTCAGTGGAGACTAGTAGTGACTAGACATGAAGCGCCATGTTGGTCTTACCTCTAGCTCATCACCTTAAGATGAGTCCACTCGTTTTCAAAGCATTGTGGGCAGAGTTGCACCTGTCAATGTGGGCTGAGGCTGTTTCTGGCCACCCGGAGCCCTCGAGCCACGCAAAGGTGTTTGGGCCATTGCCTCATGCCGTTAAAGCAAGGTATTTGTTGTAAAGACGGCGAATTTCGCGTCCCGAGGAGCATGGGAAGCGTGTTAAGTGGTCTTCGTGAAGGTGCCAATGCTGTTGCTGCGTACTGCAGTACCGCATGAACAGAAGTGAAGCTTCTCAGAGCGTGGGACAACATCAACGGGACAAGTCGCAGTCAGCATCGATATAAAGCCGAAACGCCGTGGTGCTAGCCACATCTGCCTGAAGTTGGTGCGCACGAGGTACCATGCAAGAAGGGGAGGCAAGGTGAAGGTCAGATTAGTGGAAGATGCCGGGACGCAGACCGACTCCGGAAGACTTAAGACCTCTCGACACACGCGGGAATTCCGGCAGCATCATGGTCACAAATGACCTCCTAGGACGATACAAACGCGATGGCCATGTAGACCTTGTGCATAGTCTGCAATCCGTTTCATTCTCATTGTCTCCGGCGGCAGGTACACAAAAGATGCTCGCGACTGTCTTGGGCCTCCTTGCAAAGCAATGGCCTATGCAGACTCGCTCGCTGAACCTGAGATTAACCGTAAGAGCCGTTTTCTGGCCTGTTGATGTTGAACGGCCAACGCATCCGGACTCGCGAATTTCAAACTTGATCCGTAATGCCGGATTCTTCACCCTAGGGGTTTGCCATCAGAGCATCAATGTCCTGTGAGGGACTCCCACTGAAGGCTCTGCGGGATGTGTTCAGTTCGGTGTTAATGCTACGTCTACGTCTCTCCAAGAGGTTGGAAAGTCGACGTTTGGGTCCGACTGAGCAGTGATTAGTTAATGGCTCATTTCGCATGGAAGGGGAGAGGGATGCAGCGAAGCAGCTGTCCTGTTTCCACCTGAAGGTGGCGACGGGAAAATGTCGTCAGAATCGAAGGCCTCTCACATGCTCTCACATGCTTCCAGCATCACACGAAGGGGCGAGGCCGCAGAAAAGAGCGCAGGAGAGTCTGCATTTGTGCTATGTGTGCGTGAACGTACGACGTGTCCTTGCTCATCACTTCATTTCGGACATCGTCCAGTCTACCATGATGCTCCAGGCTTAGATGCCTCCCCGGGTAGATTTACGCGCAACAGGCTGGATCGTTGTTGTCTTTGGCTTTGCATGGCAGTGCACAGTTATCGAAACCGGGTTGCTTTCGATTCGTGGCCTCCGCGGGCAGTCTGGCTCGATATAGGTCCCGTTGTGCTGATTTGCCCAGAAGCTGCTTCTGCCGCAAAATTCTCCATGGGTGATTTTCGCATTCTGTCATTCGCGCTCCAAGTCCAATTCGTGCAAACACTTGCATATCAAGGTCAAATGTCCAAGACTGTGAAGTTCGAAGGCCAGTTCCTACTTCAGCAGACAACTGCGCAGCAGACCGTCGTGCCAGGTGTTGGCATGACCTGCGAGGGCTGTTCAGGGGCCATCGAGCGGATCCTCAAGAAGGTGGACTCGAACCTAAACGGCCATGTCCACACAACCCGCATGCCTTCTCTGTGAGGTGGATGGAGTCTCGAGACTTGGCAGCAGCCAAGAAAAGGCTCGGAACAGGATGATGTTTCAATTCAACCGCAAGGTGCAATGCTACTTTCTTGCAGCACTGACCAGCTCAAGACCTGTCCAAGTACCTGCCTCTAAGATGGCACCCCGAAATCGGGACCTGACATGCATGCTAGCGCTGGACATCAAGCAGCAAGGCCCTATAAGGCCCTGAATAAACCCTGTCCTGCTCCAAGCCTTCGCGGCCGACTGCTTCAAGGGGGACTCAGCCCTGCAGGCGGTTGGGTGTTCAAAGGATGCTCAGAAGGACGTCTCGAGTTGTTGCATCCGTTCGTGTTCCCTTCAAACTTGTCTCATGAGCGCCTTTACTCGTGGCAGAGGAAATACAACAGCATATAGCCGAATACGTGTTGTTGCACCCTTCTCAAGACCAGAAGCTTCTGGAACTTGACATGAGTAAGGAGACAGCATGAGGGTTGCACCAAAGCAGGGATGAGGGGCTTGAAATGCAATATTGCACCAACAGGCTCTGTGTGATGTGTCGAGTTCCTGTGGCCCAAGCCATGTGTATAGTACAGATGCTAAGGAGCATCTCCTGTGACATCGAGGGGAAAGCTGTGACTGTCGAATATGACGACACCAAGACAAAGCCACAGGAGTGCTGTCGGACTCTTCACCTCGTGCACCCCGGCACTCCAGCCCCAAAATCAGGATCTGCCTGCAGGACATGTGGGACAAGATGAAGAAGTGGGCCGATGCTGCTCAGAAGGAGTTGGCTCCCTGCCCTGCTTGATGTGCAGTTGAGCAGGAACCGGCTGCAGATACTCCAGAAGATGTAGGATCAAGGTGATAAAGCTTGGTAGAAGGATGCGCCTCGGGTGAACCGGCCCAACAACCAGAACTAGGAGCGATTGAACGCCACCATGTGAAAATCACATCGGATGGCCTTGAGGGCGCTTTCCGCGGTAAAAGTACAACGTGTGCCGTTGTCAAGAGGGTTTTTGGGTTTTCTGCTCTGGATGCTCCGCATTGCCAAAGTCTTTGCAGTGCAAGCCGCAGGCACGTCCTTGAAGCCATGGGCGCCCAGGCGGCCAGGGGTGCATTGGGTTCTCAAAAGAATCTCTGTGTGCTTCGAATCCGTCGCCAGGAAGACCAGTGCTCCAAGTTCGAAAGATTTGAGCAGAACCTCCCAAAGTCTGTCCACACGTCCAACCTTGAGGGAGGCCGTTTGCGAAGAGGAGGTGCTCCAGTCAGACGTCATGCCCTTGAGCTGTATCCACGAAGAGGAAGATGAGGAGACTTCAAGTCCTAGTCATGCTTCACGACGTGGGCCTGGCTACAGGGGCACGTCCTCCTCTGCGAAGGAGACATTGACCGAGGTTGTGGAGCCCCTTGATGAGAACCTGAACAGGCTGCAGCGGAAGGTGGCTTCCATGCTCGAGATGCAAAGGCGTTCAAGCTCTCAAGAGGACCTGAAAAGTCACAGCTCACGTGCCGAATCAGAGCTCAAGCGTCATGAACGGAGAGTTCAGGACGAGCCTGTAGTTGCGGATCATCCGCAATATACCGTGGAAGACCCTGTCGAGTCTCGTCCGTGGGCAAGCTGCGCTTCGCAGCTCAATACCCGCGCCGCAGGAAGCGGCACGCAATGCACGCAGTATCGGGAGCTCCTGGCAGAGCATTACAAGCAGCAGCTGCAAATGCTTGACGAAGAGGAGGCTGAGTTGCAACACCAGATGCGGCTTCGCCAGCAACTCCGCGTCGAATTGCACGAGGAGCAGGAGAGATGTGAAGAAGCTGCAAGGACTGCTGAGCTGGCAGAAGCTCAACCAGGTGCACATGTCGAAGACAGGCAACTGGAGCTGTTACGGAGCTTAGAAGAGCAGCTTCGAATCAGCGAAGAGCGACGGCTGGAGTTGGAACGTGAGAATCGCGTGCTCCAATCACGGATTCAAAAGACCCCGTCTACGAACAAGCCATGTGGAGCCATGCCTCGACGAGAACCTCCAAAGGAGGGAAAGGAGCTTTCAAGGAGGGAAAGGTCGCCATCCTCTCAGTCGGCTTTTGAAAGGTCCCCACCGGCCACGGCGACGGCGACTCCAGCGGTCTTCAGAGCAGCTTCTCCACGCACACAGGACAATAGTCACCGCCAGGCAGGAGGCTCAGTTTCGATTAGAGCGTGCTCATGTTCGCACGTGGTGAAGGGCATCCTGTAAAGAGTTGATTTCGTAAAGCAGGCTCAACAGACGGATATTCACCCCTCCATAGGACGCAGGTCTAGAGCCATGTAGTATCTGTTGCTTTGTGAAGGTCGCGGCGACTTCAGCATTCCATTATCTGAATCTGTACTTGTAGCAGGGTTTTTTTACCCCGCCGGATTCCATCACACGCCTTCCGATGCATCAGTGGTAATGATAATCAACGTGAGTTCTGTACGAGCTCTCGCCGCTCTTAGCACCTCGGCAAGATATCGAATGCACAGCCAGGGTTGGGTGTAAGCTGTAGGCCGTGGTAGTCCGCATTATCCTGTAGTCGTACTGCAGCAGCCTTGGGGTTTTGGAAAGGGCGGCGGCGGGACCCGCCGAGGCCAAGCCCTGCTCACCACCACCGCCTTCTCCCGCGACAGACTGCCGCGCCGAACCGGCATTTGTTTGCAGAGCTTTAGGGCGGCAGGGTAGCACCCTCATGAAACTCTGGAAGGCAGCAGCTTCCGACATCTGAGATATCACATTGGTATGGACATGTTCGAACTTCAGCTTGAGTGCAGTTTGCTCTCATGTGCCAGGACTTCGGGAAGAGGGCCGTGACAACCAGAGGAGTTGCCAAGTTTCAGCATCCGCGCCCCGCTTTGGCCTCAGTTGGGTTGCCCAACACTTTCAGCACGCCCCTGTCCTGCGCGCGTCAACTCACGGAGTTCTTTCAGGGTTTTCTCTCGCCTGAGGCCCGTGTTGTGTTGCCTGCGCGACGCTCGAGCCCTTGCCTCGGTCCGAAGTCCGAATCAACGCTTTGGTGAGGGGCTTCTGCGCTTGTCTCTCAGGTCGTCCGCGTTCAGCTCCTCAGGTCGACAAGATGCAAGGCCACGAAACCGTCGGCTTTGCGTGAGCTTAGGATTTGGGGTTTAGGGCTTACAGCTTGGACTTTCGGGTTTAGGTGTCAGGATCTCGAAGTCTGCTAGCACCTTCAAAAGAACCAGTGATGCCCGTGCCTGGCTTTTGAAGGTGCTCGGCCAGCGAAAGGTCCAGCCCCAACGGTGAAGCTTACGCCGCGAGCCTCACTCCCAGCTGGTTGCGTTGCCAGGCCTGCAGGCACAAGGTGCCTCTCATGTCTTACCTCATCTTTGATATGACACACGACTAATTTGAATATGTTCCGTTGCACTCATGTCATAACCGGGCACTTTATTGTCAAGCACCTGGCAGAACCACTGCCACATCCCGTGTAGATCCCCAAATCCTCTTAGCAAGTAGGCCTTGTGTCATCACCAGAACATGGATGCTCCAAACATAGTTTTTTCGAATGAACATCTGCAACAACGGCGGAGCATGGTGTTGTGCCTGGAGGCTCCAGAAACTTGCAAACCTCCCGAACAAGAGCGTAGCCCACTGCATTTCTTAATTTTTGGGCTTCTCACAGACCAAGGCAAATAAGGCATGGCACCAAAACGTTGGGTACCCTATTCATGTGGCTGACGAAGCCGAAACGGCTCCCGGACAGTGTGGCGCCGTGCAGGCAGAGTAGAAGTTCCTGAAAAGAACAGGAAGGAGCGTGCCTGCGTGCTCGGCATCCGAGGTGGAAGCGAGTGGATTCGACGGACGCCTCAAGGATGCCCTGTGTCATCTTGTCGAGCTCTGCTCGTCCTGTTTGGGACCCCACATAGTTCGCGAAAACTGAAAGTTGGGTTGTTTTGGCGACGGTCTGGCGAAAAGTGTGAACCGGAACGAAGCAAGAAGCCAGACTCAGAAGTTGCCACCCCCAGCCTCAGTGGTTCACGGAGCAGATAGCATGAATGAGCACAACTAAAGATACGAGCTGCCGTGCGCTTCGTTTTGCGGCACTTGTGCAGGAGGCTGCGGCTCCCCTTTCCAGCCGAGCTCGATTGCCAAGCCCGACGGCGAAGCCTCTTGGACATGTCCCGTTCACGGAGGCTTCGCCTTGCTTGAGCCCCGCAAAGCCGAGGATGTCTGAGACTACGATGGCTCCAGACAGCCCGCGGACGAGTTCGCCTGAGGGGCGGACCACGCTCAGTGAAGGCAGTCGCTTGACTTCAGTGGGATGGCTTCCATTGCAGAGGATCGTGGTGGGGTCTAGTTTCTTCGCAAGCCCCAGCGCTGGAGGTCCTGCTGCGGTGCCCACCTCGATATATGCTGATGTCCATGTGCAACAAGAAGCCCTGCCATCTCAGGGAGCGTCTCTTACCTGCATTGTTGCATGATGTTACATGGTCTCTTGTCATTGTGGTGGTTCAGGCACTGCTTAGCTGAGGTTTTCACACTTGGCCAGGGTGGGGTGCCCTGAGCTCCAGTGGCTTACCATGGCTTGCCCTAGTCTGAGCAAGTTGAGCATGAGGCAGAATTACCAACATGGGCGATGCCTCAAGTGATGCCAGCCAGCACGAAGGCAAGAAACTTAGTCGGACAGATACATAATGTCTTGTAGTTTGACGAATTCGCCACTGGCATTCCATTGCTGAGATACAGCTCGGCTCTTGTCATGACTCTTCGCCTGGCTGGCACGATTTATACCGGCGGCCAGTGTTTGAAGTCTGCTTTTGAAACTGCTTCTTTCTATGACTCCTGTTGTTGTGGTGACATGCCGATCTAAACATGAGTTCGCAAGTAAGAAGCCCTAAGCAACTTTAAAACAGAAAGACCGCCGAAAGCATTCGACACGGCAGGACAGGAGCGGCAGAGACGCTATACTCGCCCCGGCCCTGGCACTGGCATGTTCTCGAACCTCCGAATTGGGTTTCAGAGGATCCCAGAGGCCTGGATGCAGCGAGCATTGCCGAAACCCAGTCTCGTCCTTCTCACGACTTTCGATTCGCTTCTCATTCTGCATCTCCATCTGCCCTTGTCTCTGCGAGTTGTTTGCGCATGCCGCGCTCCCTGTCGCCGCAGCCGGAGGCATTGTGTCTTCTCTGTTGGCCTTTTTTGATGTGGTTCTCCTCTCGGGCTTCCTGCTCTCTCTCTCTCGCTCTCTCTCTCGGTTGGGGTGGGATATCCTGCACCCCTGTCCCGATTTCCATACAGATAGAGCCATTTCTGATGTCAAGATTTCATGGAAGAATCTGGGGCTAGCCGTGAGGGGACATGCCGAGCACCGCCATGGGAGATGGAAGCAGAAGCAGCCGAGCCAGCAAAGGGATCGGCCGATCCATACAGCGCATCCGCATGTATGTACATACGTACATGCATACATGCATACATACATACATACATACATACATACATACATACATCTACGCACACACACAGAATTCATCCATGTCGCATGCAGGCTGTGTCAAGGAGCTGTGCGTGCTTAAAGCATTCCTTCATCCCGCGACTCCGAGGCCTCCGAAGCCGAGGCTGTGCTCCGGGAAGGGCCTCGCCCCTGCCTGAGCTGGAGAAGTCACTGTGCCATGGCTTCGTCAATGTACAGCTCAGGTGTGGCCCTCCTTAGATCTTTCGTGGGGAGAGGCCGGTTGCATCAGCAAGGGAATATACGCAGTAGGTTTGTGGCGACGGAAGCAGAAATTTGCAGATTTTCTGTATTGCAAGCTCGTGCCCAGCCCTACACACAAACCAGGGCCCTGCGAGCGCTGAAGCGCGACGAGTGTACCAGCTGCATTACGTCCATTAAGTAAGCGCAGTGCTTACGAGCGAAGAACAATTCGAAACCGAATAATGGCTCAGGCTGTGCAGCCTTCTTTGGCAGCTCGTGAGGGTTCTACTACCCCGACTGATTATGCCGCTGGCAGGTCGCAGGCAAGGTCAGCTATTAGGCCCAGACTAGCCCGCATGTTCAGTGACTCGAGGCGATGTGGGTGGCGCATCTTGCGCACGAGCGTAGGAACCTCGGAGAAACACTTTCCAATCCGTCAGGGCGAAGTGCCAAGACAACTGTTGACAAGCTGGCCTGATGTCGAAGGTTCGGGCACTGGTCGAGCCGGGAGCCCACTTCAAGATCGAGGACTCCTCCGTCGCATGCTTAAGAGGTCTTGTTCGATGCTGCGCCTTGTTGTGCAGTCTGCCGCCAGCACTGCCAGCTTGAAATTGAAGGTTCTGCTTCGATGGCATGTACATCTGCTCGTGCAGCAAGCCCCCAAAAACAGAGCTTGGTGGTCGGGGCCTCACGGTCATGCCGTGAATCATGGCTTTCTTTGTTCAACCTCTGCCGAGCTGAATCCACTGAGCCCGCTGACTTCACCGAGCCATTGGCGGTGTCACCGTCCCCTTCAAGCGCAAGGCGTGCTAAGATGCTGAGAGCAGCAGCTGCTTTTGCACCTATGTGCCCTGAAGCGGCGGTCTGTCTCGCCCCGCGCCGAGCCAGGATCTCGTCCCTCGTGCGCTCGTCTTCGACTCCGCTGGTCGCGTGGCTTAGCTCGTTGATGCCTGAACACACAAGCACCAATTTGGTATGTGAGCAGCGGCATGCGCATGCCTCCAGGTTGGACAGTCAAGGTGGGCAAGCGATTGGGGCTGGGCATGCTAGAGCTGTGCTTGGACTCACTCTCGCTCGTTTCTGCCAGGTTTTCAGCCAAGGCTTCGCACCCAGGCGCCGCTTCTGTGCTACAGGCAGTACTTTTGCTATCTCCAGTCAGCAAGCACGTGGTGTGCCTCCGAACTTCGAAGTCGCCGGGCGTCGCTTTTGGTTTCAGGTCCTTTTGGAAAACGCCAGGGTTCTGAGTGTCAGCAGAAGCCACTGGGTCAGTTCATCGAATCTTTGCCCTAAACCCCAAATGAAGCCCTTGCCAGGCCTGAAACTGCCAGCTTGAACTCGAGTTTCAAGCTGGGAGCATCCGACACGCGGGAGGCGGCACGAGCACCTCCACGCGTGTATCTCCAAGTTTGCCAATTACTAGGAGTTGAATCTCTTTGCTGGAATTAAAATCGGCGCGAAGCGCCTTGCCCCAGTACTTTGGCTTTGTACGTGAAGCGAAAACCAGCGAATGAACGCCTTAACGGCGCATGTGCGTGATGGCTTGGATCAAACGGCTGGTCTGCCTTGCTGCCGTATGCTGCCGTCTTGAGCTTCAAGCACCAACAACATTGACTTCAATCAACCACGAAAGAAGCTCTGCCATTTCTCTTGCTGAACCTAAAGCAAGTATTTCAGCTGTAGGCTCAGAAGAGTTCACGTACTGTCGACATACAGAGCATGCGGCGTGACGGAGGAGAAACAAGTACGCAAACAAGTGCCCGGACAGACATGGGTACATAAAGGAGAGACAAAATCTACAAGCTTGCGCTTGTGCGCCTTGTTTCCGTGTTTCTGCGCATGGCCAGACATGCAGCCCACCTCGAAGGAGACAGCTTCTTGTGTACATGGGCGCGTCTGCCGAAGTAGTCAGTCCGTGCAGTGTCCCAATCACCGCATATGGACACATGGACAAGGTCCAGAAACAGATTCAGCAAACTGTCTGCCGTGAAGGCAGCTGACATTAGCTGCGACATCGTGCCTTATGAAAGCTGATAGCATGCTGCTCTCGCAAATGTTCCACTGTACCAGAGGCTGAGATCAGTATCATAGGCAAGCTGTGCACCATCCTTCCATTGCAGGAGGTCAAAGTGAGGCACGCAGAAAGAGCCGGCTTCATTCAACTCGTAGAGCGATTTGGACGCGATCCTGGCATGCTAGCAGGTTCTAGCATTGTTGAAGCACTGTATCTGGCTGACGAGGTACTGGACATGCAAGCTGTGCGAGTACAGCAAAAACACGGAGGAGCTGCAGCACTGAGCGTTTGTGACGGTTTGCCGGCTTGCATCTATCTCTGTCGGGGCTTCCCAGCATGTGTTCCAAGGTTTACCTATGTGAGAGTTCTTTCAGGATTTTGCTAATTCTGTTTTTGCACTTGGCATCCGACATGTGTCTGTCGAGGCTCGCCGGACTTCTAGCCAACATCTGTATCAACGGCTGATGCTGTCCCAGCATGTTGTTTCAGGGTTCAGGGGCCTAGGAATTACCTGAAGCATCCGCTTTTTTTGAGCACCGCACGACACCTTCCCACCTAACATATCCATTGTGCGTTGCGGGTGCCCAGCTCAGTCCATTTCGCTTTGCAGGGTTTGCAGGCTTGAAGGGGTTGCAATCTTTGATGTGTTACGTTTTGGTAACTACATACAGCTACGGGTTGACATCTTTCTCCTCCACTACTACCGCCACTACCACTGTCTCTACTCTTACTGCCACTGCTACTGCTACTCCTACCGCTCCTGCTCCTGCTCCCACTGCTGTTGCTGCTGCTGCTGCCGCCGCTGCTCCTGGCGGCTGCTACTACTACTACTACTACTACTACTACTACTATTACTACTACCACTACTACTGATACTACTGCTACTGATACGACTGCCAAAGTCACCATGGATCCCCCTTCACTGTATCGCAATTGCTACCACAGCCTTTCAAGCAGTTAGTTGACGGCTCAGTAAGACTTGTGCAGGACATGACTGAATGCAAGAACTGTGGCCGTCCACGTGGCTACAATCCAGAAAGGCCCGACTCTTGTCTGATTGATGAGCCCTCCAACACCTGGGCTTTCGCACCCAACACTTTGAAAGAGATGCCGGAACCAGGTACCAGCAGCGATTGAAGGAGATTCGCACATGGACGGAGGAGGCGCGACTTTCAGGTCATGAGCGTGCCTTCGTGTCACGACCATGTTTCACAGTATTTCTTGAGCGGCAATGGGGTTTCAACTCCTCACCGCTCACGATACGACGACGGGAGTCGCAAGCAACAGCGGTGTCCGGGACGCTTTACGGGTGTGCCTGCAACCGCAGACCCTGTTTGGAGCTGAAACACGTCGATCTAAGATTCTGATAGGATCGACCCTGAACCCTAAACCTTCCCTGGAGCTGTAGGATTTGTTCTGACACTTTCAGTAGTAGTAGTAGTAGTAGTAGTAGTAGTAGTAGTAGTAGTAGTGGTAGTAGTAGGCGTCGTAGTAGTAGTAGTAGTAGTAGTAGTAGTTTTGTCTTTTTAGTAAGAGCTGGGCTCATCAGAAGGATGAGTGCGCTATGCCCCGGGTTCGTGAGACCTGCCTTAACATCACGAACGCCAAGCGAGATCGCCTCTTGCTGCGTCCGGAAGAAGAAGAAGAAGTAGTAGTAGTAGTAGTAGTAGCAGTAGTAGTAGTGTAGTAGTAGTAACACCCTTCACAATCATAACCATACGAACATTCAGTACTGACGCACATCGCTGGAAGTCAACATGTCAAAACACTAGTTTGAGGGCGTGCGGTTCACCGTGATAGAGCAGGCGGCTGTCGTGAACATAAAGTAGCAACCGGATGTGGTTCAAGCATGGTTTTGTTTTAGCATTGGTCTGCTATGATGGAGGACGAGCCAGAAGAAGAGGGCGGAATCGTGGAGTATTGCGGCCTCATCGTAGGTCCGGTTCCCAGAAGGGCTTGCTCCGTGCCAGACAGGTACAGCAACGGGGCATCGTCCTTCCAAGGTCTGTTCATCCTTCTCCTTATCATAGCCATCCTGGTCTGGGCATACTACCAGGATCAGAAGGCTGGTCGACACGTCAATGTTTGCTAGGACCGGGATGCGAGAGTTCGCCTTCGTGGATCCCAGCTCGGTTCACTAGGTTGCGACTAACTAGTTTCATTCATCGATATTGGCCGCTAGGCGTAGATCCAAAACACTGTTCTGTGATCTTTGTCGGGACTGGTCCCTTTTATTGCATCGTGACAGTGCAGGAACATCTTGAACAGGGCTGGCAGGCCATCGACTGCTAGAGTGCTAGAGTTGTTGGATCTCGAAGGTTCTAAGACACGACGAGCTGCGAGATGAGGAGTTGTAGTCCTGACTTCCGACTCCGGCCAAGTCCGCCTCCGCCTCTGTGGCGATTAAGCATTACATCCGCATTCGAGTCAGAGGATCCTGGCTTGATGCAGAGACCTTCAACTGTCGCAGAGGTTGTTCCCTCTCACTGCATGAAGTGGCGAAGCCTCGTGCAGAACAAGGGCCAGAAGAGCCAACGAATCTTACGTCAACTCGGCCGACCCTTGCGGGTTAACGAACACTCGACTTGTGCGTGCCTTTGTGTCGGTTCACTGTGCTCAGGGTTAGGGGCACGTTCCTGCAACCCGTTCTGACGCTTGAGACGTAGAGGGCTTTGCTGAAACTTTGATTCTGCCTCCGCCGAGCGTGTGCGCACTTCCGTTCTCTGTGTTCATGGATTTTTTCCAGCTTCAAAGCCGAGCCCGTGCTACAGAGGTGGTAAGACGGCAGCATCTCACAAGGCGCTTTGATCACGAACTTGATTGACTTGGCCAACCTGTCTGCAGCAGTTTCCTCCGAGTCCTTCGATCGCTGTAGGCACATGCCATCCTGGTCTCTGACATCGCAATACCACTCCAAAGCCAAACCCGTGCTGCAGAGTTGGGTAACACCGCAAGATTTCGCAAGGACGACGTCAGAGTTTGGAAGGGCAAGCCCGTTTCGAGTGCGTGACCTTTTTCGTCATGGACAGCATTTCGATTGCAGACAGATATATGCCTGCGTCGATTCTAGTCCTCATATTTTGTGGGTGAAGCACAGACAGCAGACGGATGTGACGGGCAAACATATCACCAGTTCGGTGGCTAGCTAACGTTTGTCGTGGGCACGACCTGACGTGCATGCACGACTGCCTTTGCTTGGCCTTCCTTCTGGCGGGCAAGCCACTGATGGGAGCGCCCCGTGCCCAATCCTTCGCTGTTGCGCAAGGCCCGCTTGTTCAACGCTTGAGAATCCGAAAGCCCACTAGAAAGCGCGGTTAGAACATCCGCACGACAGTGTGCAGGTGGTCCATTGCTGCTGGCTTAGTCATGAGTCGGGCATTCTTGTCGGGGGTGCCTGTACTGCTTCGGCTCAGGGCCGCGCCGAAAGAGGGTGAACTCCCGCGATCGCAGTCTTTCACAGCTGGCCGCTCTCGAAGAGGTGCAGGACTGACAGGTTTCAAGTGTTCGGTTACCACTGAAGTAAGCTCCAGGTGAGGATCCTGGAAATCCAGGAAATTTGCGTGGCACTTGGCAATCGCTTGATGTGCCCACGAATTATATGCTGTGCCGTAAGCGTATGGCCATCGTCGTCTGTTGTCTGCAGAAGCTGGTTGTGCTCTCTCTCTCTCTCTCTATCTCTTTCTGGTTCTTTCGCTCACATGCTCTCACACGTTCTCAGACGGCCTCGCTCACATGCTCTCAGCTTTCGCTCGCTCTCCGTCCCTTGTTGTCTATGGCAAGGGACGGAGAGGTACAGGACTTTTCTAGACTCTGCATCGTGAGCAGATACAGGATTTCAGATGCGACCAGGCTCCAGCAGTAGGGAAGGACGGTATGCTGAGCATCCTCGTAACACAGATCGGATAGGAGCATAGCTTTTCCTGTTCGGCATCATTGGGCAAACCACGGCCCACCCTTCATTGGCATAATGGTTTCGCGAAGGAAGGGAGAGAGTGAGTAATGATCTGGAATTTGGTTGGGTGACGAAGTCGGTGGGGTGCAGGGTGAACTTACTGCATCGTTTATTCAAGTGCGCAGTGCCTGTCCTGCCAGACGAGGTCTTCGGCAGCTCAGCAGGACTCGTGGGAGCACAGATGTTGTTCTGATACTTGCTGGTCCTTTCTACCGCTTGCCCCAAACCCTCAATCGAACTCCTGCCAGACTGCGCAGGACGCGGCATCTTCCAACTTGTCCGTGCCTTAGTTTGTCCACCTGTGAATGAAATTGCAGCCAGTCCTGCGCTTCTCAAGCTCGAATGTCTTGGGTTTTTCGGTCTTCGTGTTGCTGGAAATAACGCAGTTTAACAGTACTACAGCCAGGGACCCTGAGATATGTGTGGCTCGATTACCCGCTCGAGTTGCACCAATCCTCACACACGGGCGCGCAATCTCCACGTCCATCCTTGCCCAACGCTACCTGATGATATGTATTTCGTAGACTCTTAGCCCTCCGAGGCTAGTTAACGGCTTCTGACGGCGTGTGATCGTTCGAAGTGTGCTGCTTGTTGTTGTGCACGAGGCCCACAGCAGGGCCTGCTGTTCCACTTCGGCCTATGGAGCTGAGGGAGCTTAGCACAGAGGCGAGGTGCGGCTAAGGAGATTTGGGCATGAGTCCCTGAACATTTCGGCCTGCGCAGCCCTACACAATAAGGGGGAGTAGTTGGACCTGGTGCAGCTACCTGATCTATGCTGGCATACATGCATGTGCCGCGTGGCATGGCAGGTCCCACGGGAGCCTTCCTGGCCTTCGGATGGGCCTTCGCTGGGGCCCCGCGTCCTGCACTGCAGTGTGAGACTGGCAGCGAGATGCAGCGAGCGGCGGAGTAGCATGAGCTGGCTTTGGAAAGGTCATGGAAGCAAGCGGAGGCCTCCACGCCGACCTCCGTCTCCTCAGGAGCTCAGGCAGCTGCTGGTGAAAGCCACACGTCCGGCACTGCACAGGCCCCAAAAAGCATGACAGCTTTGACATGGCAATTGCCACTGTTCTGGGAGCTGGTGGCAGGGCTCCCGATCAGACAACCCGGCATGGGAAGCTTCGCCGAGCTCCAAGGCAGGATGAAGCCTGTCATCCTCACGACTCTCAGCGTCCTGTCTCAGTTTCGCAGGTGGAGGCGGTTGAGGTGCCTGAACCTGACAACAAACACAAGTGCACGCCGGTAGCTTAGTGCTTGTTAAATTCGTGACGGCATCCCTGGCCCGGTCAGTCTTGGAGGCCCAAGAATCCGTTCTGGGTGCAGCCCGAGGCGGCAGCAGCAGATCGAATGACCTGCTACAGTACCCTGACGTGGGACTGGAGGTCATTCAAAAGAAGCCGAGTTCTCGCAGGAGCCGCCTGGGCCACCACCAAGAAGGCCTGGAAAGCCTTGATCTTTCCGAGATCATCCCGAAGCTTGATGTATGTCCCGTGATAAGGTTGCGATGGCCTGAACCACTACCTTTCTGGAGCCACATCCTGATTCTCGCTGTTTGCAGTCTATGTTCGCTTCAGTCTCTTATTTTGGGCTGGCAGGCTGTATTTTTCCGGTTCGAAAAAGGGAAGCTTACTGCGACCGTATTGAAGTATTGGTCGCGCGGTGCCTCTTTCTTGTCGTCGGATGAGCTAACTTGCACGCGGACGCAGTCGGCATGCGTATGGAATAGGTACGATCCTCAAGCCTCTGCATCGCATGCAGGCAAACCTGAAAAGGCACCGAAGTAAGGAGGACCAGGCAAGGGTGTATTTACGGCGATAACAGACCACAAGCAGACACTTCAACTGTAGCACCTATCCCAGTTCCTGCAGTTGCAGGTCCGTTCTGGTCGAACACCCCCCCCATGAAGCAAGGGCACCATTGGGTGTGGTCTGGTCTTCTTTTTTTTTTTTCATGCTGTGGTCGGTGGTCCGGGGGCACACATCAGATTTATTTTCCTTGTGAGCGATCATCTGCACCTTTACAGCCCGCCTGTCTTGCTGAGAGTAGCAAGCTTCACCCACATACTGAGATGCACTTTGCCCTCGTAAAACGATTTGACGCTCCACATCACTGCAGCTCGTGCAGAGACACGCATGTGTGGGAGCACACATCAAATCTCTTGGATGTATGCCACATGTCTGTGCCGGCAGTAAGTCGTCAGATTGCTGAGGCGGCACCGCTGCGGTGTCTCAGTGATGTTGTCGATGCCGGTGATCGAAATCACGAGATCGAAATTGCGGAGGACTGCACCTGCATGTGACATGTCGTTCGGTTCCTCCCCAAACCGTTTCCGTGAACGTATGTGTGCCCTCCTGGCCTGTTTGACCCGAGCTAGGAAGAGCTGACGACGGTGCATATAAGCAGCTGGGAGCAGCGCCTGGACTGGAGAAGCTTTCTCAGCGAGGCATTCGAGTTGTGTCGATTGCGACTATGGCTTTAGCGCAAAGCCGTCTGTGTGCTGTCGAGGCTGTGGCTTCAAGCCTGGCTCGACAAGCCTTCATGAATTTCGATGTCGAGGCAAGGAACTTTGTTCCCTGCACCTCACACAGTGGCAGACTGCAGGCGGAGCCTCCGGCATATGCAAGACCACCTCCGTCCTCCAAAGAGAGTGTCCCTGCCTCAGCTTATGGCAAATCAACAGAAGAGTCGGCAAGAAACTCAGAAGCCGTGCACAGTCGAAGCAACAGACCGGCAACCGGTGCGTTGCACCTGATGGCTCGGGTGCGGTGCCCAGAGCAAAGGGGGCATTGAGGGTGCCGTGGTGTTCTGCAATGCAATGTGCGACATCATGCCGTTTGCCAGGATGGATGCCCAGCTGAGTCGTCGAGTCAGACATTGCCCGTGCAGCCCAGCCAGAACGAGCGCAAATTCGCGACATTTCTCTTTACAGTTGTAGAAGCTGTCAACACTCATCAGTTTGCGAGAGGCAGCTTTCACGCCGAGTTTCACCTGACGATAATCTTTAGTCGAGACACAGATGCCAAAAACCTTTGCACATCTTTGCACTGCCATCCCAGTCCTCGAAAGCCGCAGTGTTAGTAGGGGCCACAAAGCTTTCGGGTCTAGGAGCCTTGCAGCATGAGACGGAACGGCAATGCGCTTCGGCCCATCATGCCCAAAGTCGATCACCTGCCACTTGACTTTCTCGCCTACTCCATGAAGAGAGAATGCGACCAGTTGCATTGTCTTCTCGAGTTTCGAGAACTAAAGCATGCATCAGACGTAGAGTCGACATAGAGCTCCATGTAGAGACATGTGACCAAACTAACCTTGGGGAGAACCTCCAAGCAACAAGAGTCGACGACACTGTCCGCTCGAGCCTTGGAGACATGTCCTGGCCACGGCCTTACTGTGTAGCAGGGAGTATGTAGCTTGCCCGGTCCCATCAGGCATACTGACGTCCGAACTGCCCAACACCTCAGCACAAATCGAACGAGTAAAACTCTTCCAGACTTGATATGAGTCTAGATGCCAAACGCATACTGAAAGCCCAAGGTATGCCGGCAAGCCTCCGGATTGGGAGGTGTGTTGGGACTTTGCGAATCGTGCTGCCCTTTGCATGGCTCTGCGGTGCGGCACTGCAAGCTAGTCACACAGCGTGTTAGCCTTGTGGATGCCTTGCGATCCAGCAAATGGCCACTTTCAGATGCAAGGCCATAAGCAAGGCAACACGTGGAACGGCGGGCCGTATTCTGAGGCAGAAGGGTTCCACAATCAACTGGACCGCCCTCTTCGCTGTATGCGCAGGTTGAGCCTTCCCCGGAGTCCTATGAGTCCTATCACCCATGGGCCGACACTCAGCCGTGGTTTCCAGCGGCGCAGCCGCAGTTCTGGCCAGCCATCGTCTCAGTCCTAAGGTCAGGAGTAGAAATTGACGGTACGCGGCTCGCAAGTTCCACCGCTCTAGATGTCACTTTAGGACCCATCGTGGGAATACATGCAGCTCCTGCAGATGCAGGCGCCCGGCTCGAGCTTCAATGGATTGTTTGCCTGCGATTCAGCGCATCATGAGTCATCGCGATTTTGCCAGCAGCACCAACTTGGGCTCAGAAGATCGGAGCACATGAGCCCAAACGCGCTAATTGCAGACCAATTGTCCGGCTGTGAAATGGGACAGTTCACTTCAGCACCTTCCAGCACGAAAGTGGATGTCGCATTGTGTGCGCTTTACAGTTTGTTGAATCTCCGCCAGCAAGTGAATGACCATGTTTCCGGTGGGCTGTTTCGTTATACTGTTGCACAGCCTATGCTGTTTCCTGAAAAGAGACGGGTAAACTTTTGACATTCAGAGCGGGAAATCGTAACAAAGTTTCCTTTCGACCCTAGGGTCATTACACGTCACTTATGGAGCATGCAACTTCTCTCCGTGTTCTGAATCTGCTTCCGCAACATGCAATTGCCCAAACCTGGAGGGTGAGGAGATTGAGACTGTACTAGCTCGACCTTGTGATCCGACCGCTGCCTACCTTGTCATTACCACGCTTCGTTGCTGTGGCATTCTGCAGGGGGCGGCAAGCTGACTCGGGCAAATAAGTACAGTCTCTCGAGCTAATGACATAGGGACTACTACAAGGGACCTTAAGGGCCTATCATAGGGATCCATTCCCCCATTCCCTACTAAGCACCAGACAGACTCTTAATGCAGGCATCGGCAGCCAGAAGTTCTGCCATGCCCAGACCTGTTCAAGAGACGGACTCCGTGGCGCTGGGCTCGATTTGCTTGAAGACGTTTCTGCTGAAACCACACTTTACCTACAAAACCATACTACACCGGCTCTCGTTTGTTGTGGTTTCGGTTGCATTGCCCAAAGATGCACCCAGGCCCTGCCGCCATCTTTGGAAAAGCGGCTGCAGGAATTGAAAAGCTCGAGTCTCAGCTTCGATGGAAGCGAGAAGGCCGATCCGAGGCCAATCAGCAGATCAAGTAAGCCTCTCAAGGCAACAAAGCGGCAAAGCCAGCTGCACCGCCACCGCCTGACAGGGAGCGCTCTTCGAACGTGCCAACTTCTTGTAAACTGCTTTTCGGGGCGGTCTTAATCTCGCAGGAGTTTGAGGGCAGCCTCAAGTCCCTCAGTGACAGGCATTGCAAAGCCGTGCTGTGCAGCATCGATGTGCCATGCAAGGAAGTCTGTAACTTCGTTTCAAGCCCCTGCGTGTCTCGAGGCACGGCTATGGCTTCATTGCCTGTCAGGATGTACATAGGACACCACTGCTTGCGACGTTAAGCAACTACAGTATCGTCGCATCACGCTGAGTCCGTGGGGCAGGATCTACGGTCGAGACACGTACGTCCCGAAGGATCGGATCACGTGTTACTTCCATGCCTACTGCGGGGAGGGGGGGGTAGCTTCCGTTTCACCAGGACCTCGTTCCTGAGGACATCAAGGCACATCTTGCCAATGAAGTGGAGCGAGTGGTACGGTGTCATTCGTGATGAGATTGTGCAAGGTGTTGGACAGAGCCTGCTGCCCTGCTTCTGCTTTTTGAGCTTGTTTCGCTGCTGATGTTGCTGAGCGACTGATAGTGTCTACCTCCTCTCAGCGGAGGTGATTTTCAAGATTGGCCTTAGCAAGAAGGGCCACCCGCAGGCTCGGGAGAGTTTCTGGAGTCTTCTGGCCAGCAAGAGGGCCAGCCGCAGGTAACGCAGATAAGACGAGCTGCCGTCTGAGAGAGTTGCTGTGTCGCAGATCTCAGTAGCCATGTAGCCTCTGAGCACACATCTCACTGGCAGAGACTGAGTCTTTCTGTTCTCGCCTGGCCGTTGCGAGGCTCCGATTGCACCGGACTCGCCTGAGAGTTGACGCAGCTTTTCCAAGCGGAGAGACTCTGCTCAGCAAGTTTAGGATCAATGTTCCACGCCTCGGATGTGGAACGAGGCCACTGCTACTTTAGGGGATGTGGCTACAGGCCCTCTTCTCCTCTGAGTTGTTGGTGGGTGTATGAATATCAGCTGACTGCTGTATGCTGTTGCCACATCCTCTCTTCTCTGCGTGACGTCTACATGACAAATCGTTTCCTGTAGCCAGCAGCATGGACACATCTCTGTTTTCGCGGAGATGAAAGCACTCGGGAGATCTCGGAGACTTGGTGCTGCACAACTTGCAGCCGAACAATCCTCCGCCATGGACTTTCTTCGTCAACCTGCATACAGTCCCTCTACAGTGTCGCAGGCGCTTATGTTCAAGCAAAAGATGTCCTGCGAAAGCATTCCACAACAGGTGAGGCCGCAGGTTTGTCTTGAGCCATGGGTATGAAGTAAGACTCATAAAGACTAGAACCACCCGGGGCCATTGTGACAATGGCGCCCGCGTCAGCTGGATCCCTGGCACATGCACTGCGAGGCCAGAGTGGCATCCGGAAAAGGCTCTGTCACTATCGAGCATAGTGAAGTGCCGAGTTCTGCCTGATGCAGTCTTGCTGCCGGTCAGCTTCGAAGAGATGGCGCTGCCAAAGCCGGAAGCCCGCCTAAGCGAGCAAATGGCCGTAGATCGCACAAATGCAGCAGCGTCATCATGTTAGGGCATGGTGTTCATGGTGATGGCATGTAAGGAGCCTGTCGATGATTTCTGGGTCAAGGACTTCAATTAGTGCACCAATCTACCTTTTTGCTTTGCTTGCCGTGTCTGGTAGCAGGAGACCAAAGGCTACGATCTCAGTCCCTATGCAGACGAGTTGCCGCTCTGCGAGGTCGGCATCCACAGTCCTCAGAGGGACCTTCATGCAGCTTGCGGGTGCTGCAATGCAGACACATTCTGGCGCGAAGGATCTTGACCCCGGCATGGTGGGGAATGGTGGCTCGTGCTGGAGCACCTGTCAAGGGTCGGGTGCATCAAGATATGTCCTTGCTGCGGGATGCTTGCGACCTGCAGGCAGTGCCCAAACGACGTACTGAAGCCTGGGTGAGAAGCTCACAGCACACATTGCTCCGATCGTGCCTGAGTTGTGAGTTATCGAGCACGGGCGAGGCTGGCTTTCGATTTCGACGAGATCAGACCCGGACATCCAGGAGTAGCGACAGCTTCACCTTACATTTTGAGACTAACATTCCTTTCATTGCGGGCTCCGGTCACTTAGAACATCAACAGGTTAGGCCCCGCTACCACATACACGTCCTTGATAATGGTCGGCGACATGCTCGACCGCAAACAGTCGCTCGCAGTGTTTCAAACCTCGAGGTGCCATGGAGAGTCAGCAAACAAAGATGCAGTCAGTGCCACTGCATGCAGTTGCGTGCCACTGTTGTCGTGCATTGAGTAGGTCCTGAGTCAGAGGGATGACTCTCATTGGATTCCGTGCTGGTCACGTACGTCCGCTGGTATCTAAACCTATGCTGAAAGTTACTAGGATTTAGCATGGCAGGATGCACCTCCCATTTCGAGTGTGTCGGAAATTTCGTCCAAGCCTTATCAAAATCAAGGGACCTGCATGCCACTGCTTGGTAAAATGCGGCTGTGCAGATCTTACTCTCAGAATCACGGCTGAGGATCGGGTGCTTTGCCATGCTGTGCGGGCAATGGATGCCCTGGGCTTGATAGCGCAAAGCGAGTTTGGCTGTGGAGTGCCTGACAACGAGAGGAAGATGCACTGGAAAACTTCGGAACCAGGGCAGAGATAGAGGCCCGTCCAGCTGTTTTTTGCCTCTTACTTGTTGAGCGGAGCGAAAGATTCTGAGCAGATGGTGGAATCATGTTCCACACTTTTTCAGATTTAGCTACTGTATCTGCACAGGACTCGATTCCGGACGTGGGGGATGTGGTGCCCTCCGTCTTGCCCGTATTTGCATGTGCCGGCCTTACTTGCGATGAATACGGTTGATGATATAAATCCTGCATTACCCATAATACGGAATATACCATAATTCCCATCGTTTAGGGTCCTTAAGGTAATGCAGCATTTATGTCATCAACAGTATGTGCGCCTCGCAATCGGCTAAAAGGACCCCGCAATCCCTGAAAGAGTGGCCTCACTTCGTAGGGTCGCTCTGGCACCGAAATGGGGGAACAGGGAACAGATTGATCAGCACGCCACTGAAGTCGATCTTCAAAGAGCATCAATTGCGCGCCTCAGAGGCCGGTATGCAGAGAAGATGGCTTCCCAGCAGCGCTATTTTCGTAGAATCCCTCGATTCCAAAAAGGACGCCCAGACACCGGGCACTCACCGCCCCCCACCTGCCCCACTACAGTACCAATGCGACACTTGACGTGCAGGATCCATGGGTGTTAGCGTCCGTCGTGCGAAAAAGTCTACTCCTTGCACAGACATGAACGAAGCATCGGCAGGTTGGATTTCGAGCATGTGTATGAGCAAAGTCGAAACCAACGCCTCACACGGCCTGTTTCTACCAACATCCGCTTTGGCACTGTGAGGACATTCCGTTTCGGGTGCAAGGGTGGTCAATCCGCAAGTGTTTGGGGGCTGCGGTAGCCTGCTGCTTTCGGATGAGAATCTTTGGGAACCTTCTTCACCTCGATCCCAAAGTCCGAAACGAGTCAAGGCAAACAGGAAGTGGTTGAAATGCCGGGTGGATGCGAGCTGCCCTTCAGGGCGCCTCGGGTTGCAAAGTCTCATTTGTTTCATACTGCCTGAGGGTTTCCACGCCTGCCGAGAGAGAGGCGCAGGTCCGGTACGGTTCTCGGTCCTTCTGATGCTTGGAATCTGATCCTGTGATCCTTCTTGGCCAAGGCTCGGACTTTCTCTGAGAGATCAGCCGCAGAATGAGCCAAAGTAAAGTTTCTTCTGCAACGCTTGCCTTTCAGTGAAAGCTGCTGTGCGGGCCCCCGAAAAAGCCTCTAATGGATGCCAGCCGGGTGATGCCAGCATGCCCACGTGACCCTGTTATAATCCCGGGACCCAGAGAAGTCTGTGCAGCCGCGCTGCTCGAAGAGCCGGCGCCTACATCTGAACCGCGCGGCCGCGCGACCATCACAGGAGCCTCCCAGGCTTCGCTGCCGCTTTTCGTGCCATTCCTGACGTCTCGCACGCATTCCTTAGGCTTCCATGGCCCAGGACAAGCTAGCGAAGGAGGCACGTCTTGCATTTTCGTAATGTCGTACCCGGGCCCCGGATTGCTATGTCGTCGCCTTGGAGGTGCATTCTTCACCAGCTCCTGTTCGTGCACCCACTCCCTGCCGATCCTTGTTTGGCCTACTCCGAAGCAGTCGAGATGCTTCAGGTTTTCGCCTCTGAAGGTGTGTGGCTGCACCTCGGGCGAATTTTCCAAATTCTGAGGTGTGGACTCGCAGCCTTCCTCTCGGAGCAATGGGAATCATCAAGATCTCATGCAGACACAGGCCACTGAATGAGGAAAGTGCGGCACATCAGTTTGCAACATTCACAAGAAATCGATGTGAACTCGGATGAGCATGATGCTCGCACTCGCTAGGCAGTAGAGTCTTCGTGTCGTAGAATTGCCACTGTCTTGCTCTTGCAGGCCGAAGGGGGTGTGAGAGGCAGCTGCCCGCCGTTTGCCCAGGGTGTGTCCGAGGCACTGTGTGTTTATTTCGCACGGCTCCCACCAGGCATCGTGATGCAGCTATCCTCAGCGTTAAAGCTCAGCAACCATTGCATCATGTCGGCTCGACGCACGACCTGCCACCGCACCACGACCACGGCTGCTACTGCAGCTCCTCCCCCTACTATTGCTACCACTACTACTACT